TTAGGAGTAAGCTCACTCGGTGACTCGCAACTTATTGTCTGAAATATTAAGGCCAATTTTACAGTTTACAATGCACACTATGTAAGCAATTTGAAATGTTTCTAACGTTTACGGGGATATTAAATTTTAATCCCGCTTAGCGGTAGACATTGTTGCGAAATGTGCTTTGCAATGTAATTAAAAGAACTCTTTAATGAAAAGTCATACTTTTAGATATTTTGGTTTATGGATATGTTTACGTACAGTTTTTGTTTTTTTTGATGATTTGTTACAAAAAAATACTATTGTATCACTTTTAAACGATTTATCGTTGTCTATTACTGTAGTGTGTTTTAACTCTGCGTTCGTCTTAAGATTTGCTACTTAATCAAATAATGCAGATTTTTTATTTCTCGTCTCCTGTATTAGCGTGAGTAGATAAATAGTTTGTCTTGATTTTAACTTGCAAATTCAAAACATCTTTTAGCTATTTGAAGCTTATCGTATAATTAGGTTTAGGAATAAAAGTCTTAGAATAGAATTGGATTTATTTTTTATCAAAGATATTCCGTTTAGGATTTACTCGGCATTTGTATGTTGCAGATGTATGGTAAATTGTGCTTCTAGATTTAAAATATAAGGCCCTTATGTGTATCCCTGTGGAACACCCTTGAGATTGCACAAACAATAAATATGTTTATTCCGATAGTAAATCAATATTTCATACAAAACTCCAATAAAACGTTTCAATAGACGTTCATAAATGTGATTCAACAGTCGTGAACCTACGTATGATAAAAGATACGAATATAAAAGCAACGTTGGCTTCCAATCTAATGTTGTTATTGCTTTTCAATTTCATCGAAGTATACCTCGACTCGGAATTGTTAGAAAAAAATCTTCGCCCAATTCAAAGTGCCAAAACGGTATTAGTTTATACATTATGTTTAAACATAATAATAATAATAATACTGACACTCGAAGTAGTATTTCAAAATTATGTGGTACGGTCTATATTAAATTTGGAAAAGCTATTGAAGGCTGTAAGCTTTCTGATTTTATATTAAATTATTATTTGTGTACTAACACATTGGTGCTTGGTAAATAAAGAACTAATAAAGCGTAATACCGGTTGCATTTGTTTTTCGTCTAAATTTAAATGTAGATAAGGATTTGATAAAACTTTCTGACCACATTGTGGCTTGGAAATTTACGTAAAAACTCCACCGACAAAGGCATTAAATTCCAACCTCTCCTAGGTTACTTATGCGTTGACCTGATAAATGTTCCAGTTTTGGTTGCAACCTCAACTGGGGCGGGGAAATTAATCATATACCTGCAACTGTATATATAAATATACTGTGTTTACGTTCATGATGTACTCTAAATGTAAGTTATTGTTTTCTACCGCAATTAATTGCAATTGTTGCGAGATGTAGATTTTATGGTTCTATATGAAGCGTTCGACAACTGTTCACATCTACAGATTTTTTACAACTATATAAATTAGGATTAGCATTTTCTGGATAGAATGGGAAAAAAAGAGAATGCTTTCAAATGAAAGGTGATAAATTTTTCACAAATTACATCTATATTAAAAACGTATACGCAATTAAAATAAACAAGGACAAGAGGTCTACGTTTAAACACATGCATATTAACGTTTGGTAATCATGAAACACGGAGACTGTTCTCAGCTTGAATTGTGGCTTTATTTTTGTCGTTTTCCGAAGATGAATAATGAAAAAATAACAGATGTTGAGGACAGATGCATTGTTGCCGTCCGTTCGTCAATTAGTCCTTGTTTGCGAGCGATGCTTAATTAACGGAACCTCGGTAAGCTCCACTAGATGAGTTGTATTAGACTGTATTTATACTTGGAAATTGTTCGTAATTTCCACTAGGGTATTCAGAGATCTTGCTTAATTTAACATATGAATTGACTGTATTGGATACTCTCAGGATTCCTAAGTTTCTGGTGGGTGTCCTCTCTTTCTTCTTCCCACTGGGCCATTCCAAGTAAGGGTCTTCTTGACCCATCTGCCATCACAAATGCGGGCAATGTGACCGGCCCATATCCACTTTAACTCTTTTGTATGTGTAACGTCTTTTAATAATGGTTATATATATAAATCATATAATAACAACAACTAAACTAAAATCTATTTTATACAACTGGAGCAAAACAAGACTGTCATATGCCTCCCCTTATCCCTCTAAAGCTTAGCAACTTGAACAAAAAGTAATATGAACATTAATATCTGTTAAGTAGAAAAGTACAGTGAAGTCACGCGTCGCGAAGGAAACAAGAAAAGTAACATTGCATACAGGCGAGTCGGCACGGATTAATACAAGCACGAAAACGTGAGTCGTGGGGGAGTTTATTAAAATGTACTGAATAGATCTGGCATTTTTTTATTCCATGTTAGCTCGCATTGGCGTTTCGCATCCGGCGTACTGCGTTTTAACGAACACTGTACGAGGACGGCAGATAACGGAAATTACTACTGCAGGCGAACGCACCGTTAATGCCTATCCGTAGGCCCATTCAATTTCTATATTTATAAGGAACTAGCTGTTCACGCTTCGCTGTGGCACATTGTGATTGAATGGTTGAGAAATGAGAAACAAAACAAAGAATACATTTCATATAAGTTTAATTTTGTAATACTTGTGGAAAAAAAATGAATAAATTAAAACAATCCTTGATGCTTATCATGCAAAATTTCAGCTCGATCGGTGCAGAACTTTTTGAGTTTTTGAAGCGTACACAAACCAACATAAAAACTAAACCAACGTAAACTCTTTATAACGAATTTCAAAGGACGGTGCATTTTCATTCGTTATAGGGAGTGTACGTTATAGGGACAGATGAGAGAAAACACCAAATTTAACCAATGACAATAATTTATATATATAACTGAGACCAAAATTTCCTACAGGCAATATATAATCTAAGAATAATGGCACACGTGTTAATGCAATTAACAATAACAAAGGCGAGACGGCTGTTTATGACCTCAGGTGCCTTTTTAGAAATTTCGCACCTCAATAGGTTAGTTTTGTAACCTGATTATAAAAACAATTACAATTAAGTATGTTGTTGATGTCTAAATATGTGAATATTTCTTCGTAATAGAGAGTGGGTGATACGTTATAAAGAGTCAATGAATGTATGAGTTTTGTGTTACACCAACCAAATTATATCTTGTTTACATTATAGAGAATCTACCGTTATAGCAAATTACGTTATAAAGAGTTTACACTGTATATAGATAAGTGTTTTATGGTCAATAGTGATTTTGTATTGAATATTTATTTTGATTTGTCTTAGAGATCCAATTACGTAGATGTCAAGCTCAGCTGTGTTATTGCATGTATATTTAACCTTTGTTTACAACTTTCGCTATCTCGGAGTGATTCTGTCCAACCGGTCCTCGACTTTCACTACATATAAATAGAGATAAAGGGTCTTTCGCAGCTGCTGTATCACCAGTCATTTAACAGTATTAAATACTATATATGTAGTAGACGAATAGTTAAATGATCCTAAGCCTTGGGATTGATTTTCTCCAGTTCAAACATTTTGTATGACTCAAAAGTTAAAGTAAATGTAAATTTAGAATTAAAAAACGGTTTTAGCGCCACAGATTTCTGCGATTACAGTTCTTTATTCTGTGACTTGTGAGAAAACAGGCTAAAATTTCACAATAGATTGATTTATGCAGACGATGTCCTATTATTAGACTTCCGCGTTGCGTTAAGCGATGTGTTCCTCTTTTAGCTCATTAATCACGACAGGAAACTGACAGATATTGTTTCGTGAACATTCGAACCTTTGACCTGATTTACTTCTTTATACTCTTCGATGTACCTTTGTTTTGTGCTCTCAAAATGATGGGTTTCATTGCCCTATTGAGTGTAAATGTCTGTTTCCCTACCACTTTTGTCCCATGCCCCACCTTAGCCTACCTAAAATTCTTATTGCACTATGTATGTAATATAATGTATATATTTAAAAAAAAACTTGTCCGTACTTATGTACATGCGTTAGAGTTATGCTTCTTTGGCGTAATAATTTTCTTCTAGTACTTTAGAAGGACGTTTCCCTCTTCGAATTGAATTTTTCTTGTCCATTTTAATGGTCACTTCCAATCGAAACGATTAATATAATATACTAATCATGATAATTTACAATAAACACTTTGTATTTATCACATTGGAACAGGTTTCTCGTATAGAAATCATTATTTTGGTTTTAATAAACACGACTCTGAAAAACTCTACGCGATGACAGACAATGTATGTTGTCGATAAAACAGAGCAAGCGCCAACTAGCGGCCCAGACTGTTCTACCGACGTTTGAACAGATATTCGGTGTCGGTTTTGTTACGGTGAGCGCGCGCATAGTAAAAAATTACTCTGATATGCAATTTTTCCCTAACGCACTAAAAGAAGTTTAAGTTCAAAAATGTAATAATTGTTAAATAATGAAAAACTGGAATTCAAATCCAAGTAATTTTAATAAAGATTTTTCCTATATTTAGTGAGATTTTCGCTTAATGCTTGCCGCACAGAGATTTTATATTGGGTTCCAATTTGGTTAGCTTCAGTTTCAAGTCTCCACGTTGTGTTACATCCAGCTGATTTCGTTTGGCCCCCTTAAGAATCAAATTGCGCCCCGGCCCCTGTGCGGCGTGGGCACCACGTTGGGTAACACTGGTTTAAATGTATAAAGTATGCGATATCTATTGACGTTTATAAACCTGTGTATAATTAGTGTTTTAGTCCTGGATAAGGCAAAATATTAACCAAGTAAAGAAAGCAAAACTACACACCTATTTCCAATTTCGATTTCTGACGTAACGTTAATTTCGATTTTCATCGTAATATACACGGAAATGTGTACTAAAATTGTATGCACAATTATTACCGAGATATAATAGCCTCAGTAAGCTTCCGTAATTTAAGGCATCAAACTTATAATTTATCATGAATAATTTATAACTGCAGATGCGATTATGCAAGGCTCGCGTGAAGCTTTAAAGCTTTCAAATGCTGAGATCGAAACTTTAAAAGAAAATACAATTTTACTGGGCATGTACATATATATCGGAGAAATATCGACTATCCATCGTCATAAGGGTTTATGGGCGTTATCTGGGTAAAATGCGAGCACAAAAGACACGAATAATTATCGTATAATTTTTAAATGACATTCATCACCACAATGGACAATATAATCGTACGACAAGACGTGGTTAAACATTGGTATTTTTTCGTTTAATTGCAGACATACAACATTATGGTTACAAAAAAATGCAACGATTTAATTTTTCATCTATAAAATATTTGCCGAAATACTTAGTTTTAAAAGCAAGTTTATTTGAGGGTAGATTACTAAAAAGTTAAAGTGGAAATCAATGATTTACTTTGTGTCTCGCCTCTACGAGCGCAGTCTACCCGCATGTTCGTAAAAAAATTAAATGTTCTATTGGCGAAAATCTTATCAAGATTCGGACTAAGCGTCCATATGCAATTGACGACGACTGCAGTCTAGACCGAGATGTAAATCGTCGGGTATTGTTGAAAAACTTGGCTCATACACAGACAAGAGATATCGATTTGTATATAGTCAAAACGTCTCGGGTAGTAACGGAGCTACATCTAGTAGAATATACTTTTACTCATTTCGGATTCAAGCAAAAGCAACTCAAGGGAATATGAATGCCCTGCTAAAATGAAACATTAGTTTCTTCATTATGACTAATTAAAAGCTAGACTTTTAATCTTGAAAATTAAGCTATCGCTAATTATAGTGGACAGGCTTCTTGAGATAGCTGTCTAATTAGTAAAGGCATACCAAATTTAAAAAAAAGCATTTATCGTGTTTCGTATACCTTTTTTAAAACTCGTTTGTACACGTCGATCAATTATAAGATTTGGGAAATTTGTCGAATCACGGCTCCACCTCAAAACAGCTTCGAATTTTATTCGATCGTTCTGTACGACTTGTGTGTGGTAGTAAGTAATATTAAGGAAACGCATGGCATGGCACCTTAAAAATTTAAAAACTGATAATATTACATGTATGATGTAAATGATTTTGTCTCAGTTCCCAGTTATCCCAGTGAATTACATTACATTAGCTTAGGTTTTTTTTTTAAGTGGCGAGGTGAGGTTAGGTTAAAGCCAAAAAAAATTACCTACTTACATGCATTTCATAAATCATGATGTTTTAATTAATTTCTATGGGGTCAAAGAGTATGAGCCACCACAATACTGCGTGGTACAACATTGGCGAGTGATGAAAATATGTAGAAAAAATTTGGAGCTGTTTTATGAAGGTGGTTAGAAATTTTATTTAAGAGTTTCTTCCATACAGAGAAGAGACTTAGCCCTAAGATTAACATATGTATGTTAAATGCAATACATTTTTTGGCATACGGAAGACATAACGCAGTCTTGACTCTGAATCTTACTCTAAATTATGTTTTGATTATTTTTCTTTACATGTACCCGCATTATTTAGTAGCGATAATGCTACCCTCTTAATTAAATTTTCTGGTCACTTTGTGTTGTTATCAATCAAAGTGTTGATCGACTTTTACAGATGTAACACTAGAAACCAATGTTTAACCAAGAATGGAACCAAATTGAGTTAAACGTGTAATATATGAACCGTAAGCGGTAAGACATTAAAAGTTTGTCATCGTCATCCAAAAAATTTAAAATAATTTTTACACTTGTCAACAGGTCACGTCGGCGGTTGTGGTGTGACAGACGAGGTCGTACAATGGATGGAGAGGATACAGAGTTCTGGAGTGGATGATGACGCACTGCCTTCACCACCTCCCGCATCTACAAGCACGCACCATCACCCTTCGTCGCCTACACCATCGCACCCAAATAGTCTTAGGGATGATCCGCCTAGGTAAGACAAAACTGGTCCTGGTATACATATGGCTTTACTTTCAAGTACTTAGATATGTAGTCCGGTGTGGTTCTTCAGGCATCAAGGTCTATCCTCAGTAGCTTTGTTGTTCGTGTGGTGAAGGAAGGAGCCGTGAAACTTTCATGTTACATCTTAAATCTTTGTAGGGTTTTTTTTGTGTCAGTGTCAGTTTGGGGAGTCAAACCGGCAGGAGGCTCAACTGATGGTAAGTGATACCGCCGCGCATGGACACTCACATTGCCTGGAGGTTCGCAAGTGCTTTGCCGACCCTTTAAGAAATGGTTCGCTCGAATTCGTTCGGAAATACCTCAGTGGGCAGATGGTTCCACATAGTGGTGGTACGCGGCAAAAATTGCCATAAAAAACGCTCAGTTGTGGAACCACGGACGTCGAGGTGATACGGATGGTATTTTATATTTTGCTTTGACGTTGGATGATGAAACTCAGCTACAAGTATTAGTCCGAACACGTTGTGGCGCCACTGGGCGGGTTCAGCTATTATATATAATATCAGTTCTGATGGAAGCCATTAAAAAGGCGTTATGATGATACATAGCCTCATTTAGAGTCCGACAACACACCCATGAGACCGAATAACTGTCTATATGAATGCTTCTATCTCTTGAATCACAAAATGCGCAGTACAACTCTAGTTCAAATCAATAATTTGTTACACGATTCACATGTTAAGAAGGGATCGAAAATGTTCAATGAATATTAAAACACATCTATGAATCTTAATGTTATTATAAATATTTGATGTTTATGCGTAAGCTCATAGTTCGACAACTTCTTTAGCATTTAGACTAGATGAGTTATTATATGTATAGTAGTCCAGAGTTTTATGACACTGTGAAAAGCCGGCTTAGTTGTTGCCTCTTTGGAGTTTTTCTTATTGGGAGACAGTAGACGCGTAAGCGTTTTGGGGTTTTTAAGGGCTCAGTTGTTCTTTGACGCCTTTTTATTGGATGATCAATCTGTTTTTTGCTTCTCATCGTGTGTATCATCCCGAAACCGAAAAGAAACGTATCGGTACAGTACCCGCGAAATGAGAAAGATATGAAGATAACAAGTCCAATGTGGATTCGTATTGCTAGGAAACTCCAAGATTTGAAGAATTTATAGGTTGCCTTTGTCGAAGGATAAACTGTAGATGAACATCATCTGTTTGCCAATAGCTATTAAGTAATATAAAGAGACTCATAAGAGATTTTAAAATATGATTCGTGCCCGTTTGAACCGGTCTAAGTTCGAATTTAGGCGAAGATCCCTAAGCGCACCTCAGTACAATATTCCTGCGGTTCATACGAGTAATTCAGTCGGACGGGTAAACTAACTATCCTAATTATGACCCAAGAATAAGTGGGATAGTGGGTAACTTGAGATGGCTCAAACTTCATATAAGTTGGTAAGTTAAACTCCTCTGCAAACCGAGGATTTATGATGATGAGCTCTAACTAGGCTTGATTAAGGCTTAAAACCTTTTGGCTTAGAACCAGTTGCTGTACTTTTTTTAATATATTTTAAAATGCATGTAGAATTTAGTCCAATCAAATCAAAATTTATTTATTCATTAGTAACTATCACTACATTATTTGACTTTTTAAATATATAATAAAAATGATATGTTTCTTTCCTAGTAGATTTTTCAATAGAAAGCGCTATAATTAATAGTAATCGTTTATTTGCAAAGAAAGTGGTACATTCAGATTGATTCTTCTTGCCCGCTCTACGTCCTTGACTTGCGAACTTCTTTCTGACAATTCATAAGTGTACGTACTTGTTTACCTACATGAATAAAGATAGTTTTAGTTTGCGTTGGTTGATATTGTTATTAAATATCTTTGTGGATATATTCTACAGATTCTGAAAAAAAAATTCATGTGTATATGGTCTTATTAAAAAATAAACTTATTGAACTGTCACGAACACTACATTTGTCTTGCCATTTTGGATATAATATTCTCCAACCAATAAATACCTATAAAATATAAGAATGCTAGAGCAAGTCATCGCTTCATCATGCTAAAGATATTGATTTCGATACCCGCCAAAATGTATTTCCTATTTTTACAGTAACTTAATTCTTATACAATAAAAAATTTATTAATTCAAGAATAAAACAAAAACATAAATTTAAACAAAACAAAAACATTAAACCTAAACATTTTTACAAATAATGCAAGTCTTTTGAGATCAGCCAGTGTAAAACCACATGCAATAATATTCAGGGTGCGCAAGACACGCGTAAATGGTGCTTCTCTGAGTAGATTTGTACAATAAAAGTTGATTAAAAGATAATTAAGTTTGTAAGCACAAAACTCGCAATCAGAATGAGATTCACACTCTTAATTGACTGCCGAGAATATGAGTGCGTGCTCCTATTTCACTATGCCTCCTGCTGATGAGGACACATCGTTTTTAATTTATTTTATTATTATATATTACTTAAGATGTCATGTGAAACATGGTGTAATGGTTGCAGCTCCTTAAAAACGTTGTGTAAAAAAAAACTTTTATTGCCAGTTCTTCTCTTTCGTTCTACGCCCTTGATTTGAGAACTGGCAGTAAATGTAAAATTAGAAGCATTTAATTTATATTTCTTTTTTTGACGTTCATAAATGTACATTGTGTTATCTATATGAATAAATGATTTTTGACTTTGACTTGACTATTTTAACAATGCTAATTAGGAATAATATTTTTCCAGACATTGGGAACACCATCATCACAATAAGTACTCACGTGCTGCGAACACGGGAGAGCATCCGCGGGCAAAGCGGGCAACTGAATCCAAAATTAAGAACACATGTTCGCTGTATATACAAACGGATCCGCTTATATGGAGACATGTGAGGGAGGGGTTTCCCGATGTAAGTATTTTAAAGAGATTTAAATGTATCAGGAAAAGACCAGCAGTGTTGGTGTAGTGGTTTCAGCCAGCGTCTTCATCATTACATGGACAACACTCGCTCGCACGGTGAAGGAAAACATTGTAAGGAAACCGGCATTTGTTAGGCCAAATGATGGCGTGTCTTGCAGTTTACTCTTAGGTATTTATTTCTTTTAGTTTTTTTAGTAGGGTTGTCTGGAAGAGATGGCTTATTAGTTAGCCGCCCGTTGAATCCCTTATAATTTATGTTATTTATTTTTATTATTGTAGGATTATGTAACGAAGTTTAAATAAATAACAAACAAACAGATAAAGAAATCTCAGGCCTAAACCTAAAAAGTTGTAGAGCCTATAATATAGAAACAATATTTTTTTGTTAATAATGGATATTTCGTGTTTCAATTGTTTGTTTTTTAGAATTACTAAATTTTAATCTGCACGAAGGAAAACGAAAAAGTAATTTATATATTAATAAAATGATATTCACGACTTCCTGTTTGTCAGCTTGGGAGAAATAATTGTCAATGGCCCATTGTTTTATAATACGTATCGATAATAAACGTGATATGGTTCATAAGAATTGTATTTGGCCAACGTTAAACAAAGTTTATTAAATTATTTGATGTTGTTCACAAATAAAAGAGTTTTCCGGGTTAATCAGAACCGTTTTCAGAAGATTTTTAAATTATATATTTAGACTAGCTGACCTGGCAAACGTCGTTTTGCCATAAATATCGTTTGTAATAAAACATAGGGGTTGATCGTAGAGGGGTGAAAGTTGGGGGTTGTATGTATTTTTTAATGCTGTATCATAAAAAAATTTATCTAAAAATAAAAAAAAAAATAGGGGTGGACTACCCTTAACATTTAGGGAGATGAAAAATAGATGTTGTCCGATTCTCAGACATACCCAATATGTACACAAAATTTATTGAGAATCGGTCAAGCCGTTTCGGAGGAGTTTAACCACAAACACCGCGACACGAGAATTTTATATATTAGATTAATTTGTTTTATTATTTAATAGAGACTGTAAGTCTCTAGTGTTATTAGACACTTTCTTATGTTAAATATCCTTTTTAGTAAATTAGGTTGGACTTAAATCCATCTGCCCGTTTGCCTCCTATTAGATGAACAAAAAAAATAAAATTCGGAGTAAAACTAAAAAACTTTAGCCACAGCAACGCTTGGCCGGTCTGCTAGTTTTTTATATATTTTAAGAAGCATTGAGATTAGCTATGTTTGCTTTATTTTCGAATCAACGTGGCTTTATTCAAATTTATTCTTAATTGTAAATATAATTAACCTTGATTTCAAATATTACAATTTGTATGTTTCGCGTATTTTACGATATGATTAATCAAGAAACGTGTTAAACACACGTTTATTTTTATTCTTGTTACTAGACTCAATGGCAGTGTGTATGACGGTCACAAAAAGTCGCAAACAAAACCTAATATTATGCGTTTTCGTTTTGTTCCCACTACAATGCAAGTGCGTGCTTCAGTAGAATAAGATGTAATAATAATAAGTCTGGTTTGATATTTCGTGCGTTCTACGCTCTTGAGTTGAGAACTGGCAGTAAATTTAGACTCACAATTTTTTTGATCTTCACAAATACTGTGAAGGATGGTAAACAGTTCCTCGTACCCGATGGGATCCACTACCTTTCTAACCACCAAAAAAGCTTAAGTCGAGAATTTGTATATATTCCTAGTAAACGCGTTTGATGATAGCTGACAGTGCAGTACACTACAAAATATGTATATTTTTATGTTTAATTTCGTCGCTTATAATTTCATCAAAATAACCTGCATGAGTACACACCCGAATCAGGTAATACGTAGTTAAATGTATTTAATAATTTTTTGTAATTTTTTCCTTTTTACGTTTCGTAAATATTTTGTTGTGTATATTATGTTTTCCATCTTTAGCTATATATTTGGTTTTTGTTATATAATTTAAAGGTCTGTTTCACAATGTACAAATAAGTTCTACATAAGTTCCAAATTATCTATTTATTACTTATTGGTAGGATAAACACTATTGCTGCGTTTCACGACTGTCAGATAGCGCTATTCGTCACATAAAGTCCATGATAAGGTATGAGTCCGATGAATGTCAAATAGCACAATTTATCTTCCAAATAATTTGTGTTGCATAGCTATTTGGTACTTTATCCATACATTGTGAAACAGACCCTAAGTGTAGTTGTAATAAATAAATAAATGTTCCAGCATCTCGACCGTAGCAAAAAGAATGAGATCGACATGAAGACACGCGAAGAGATCCTCTCTCTCATCTCTCACCACGTGACAGCTGTCAACTATATCTACCGGGACACGAAGTTTGACGGGCGACGCGAGCATCGGAATATTCAATTTGAAGTTCAAAGGATAAAGGTGAGGAGTGTTGGCCTAGGCTTCAGCGTCTGACTCTCATCTCTGAGGTCGTAGGTTCGATCCCCGGCTGTGCACCAATGGACTTTCTTTCTATGTGCGCATTTAACATTCGCTCGAACGGTGAAGGAAAATATCGTGAAGAAACCGGGTTGCACAGCAACAGATACAGAAATCTGAGTTCACCGGGTCATATATTTGTAAAGAAAAATACATGAGTCGAGACCTAAAATTCAAAGTTGTTAGCGCAAAGTTTTGTTTCTAAATCCGACCCCAAGCGACTTCCTCAATATTAATTATTACCTTTAATGTCCGAGAACTTCGGGGGAATGTGAAATTCGTGAACCACAACTCTAAGTCTAAATCTTTCCCTAAATGCCTAAAGTCAGTTAACAATATCTTTCGTATTTCTAATACAGATGAAACTGTTATTATTGAAAAGTGATATTCATTGTGGCAAACGTGATAAATGAAGCCGGAGAAAGCGCTAGGAAATGGGATTAGGCGTTAACCCGTGCGCTGTCCTACATTGCTGGGCAGATCAATATCTAGTACATATGGACAATTTTTAATTGAATTAAAAAATGTTATGTATGTGTAAAACAAAAAACTTGGCGATTAAAAGAGTGGCGGAGAGTTTATTACCAGTTCTTCTCTTCCGTTCTACGCCCTTGATTTGAGAACTGGCATGTAAAATTAGCAGCATTTAATGTATATTTCTTTTTTGACGTTCATAAGTGTACATTGTGTTAGCTATATGAATAAATGATTTTTGACTTTGACTTTTTGATTATTACCAAAGCAACAATAAAAATCAATGGACAATAAATCATAATATTTCCTGATACTATGTTTTAATATATATATTTTGAAGTATGTTCGTAAATGTTTTTCACCAGATCGACGATGATTCTGCGTGCAAGAAGCACCCGTTCGCAACGGAAACGAACCAATTCTGCTGGGAGAACATTGATGTGTCAAATTTTCTGAATCTCCACTCACTGGGCAATCATGAAGACTTCTGCCTCGCGTATATGTTCACTTATCGGGACTTCACTGGTGGAACTCTGGGTATGTTTTAAGAATGCTAAATCAATGAGTTATCTAGATTCTGTCCATCTGCCCATTGAATTTCTGAACGTATATAAAATTGACTTAAGAAATTACCGTCATCTTAAAAGGCCGGCCTCGAGCCTTTTGACAATGTGTGTCCATGGGATTACTTAACATCGAGTGAGGTGAACTATTTGCCCCTTTTATATAAAAAAGAATAACAAAGAAGATACCTATCTTTATTCCATAAATATCATTCTTTAATTAGAAACATGACTCATACAGGACAACTTTTCGTACTAGGGGATTGAAACTGCGTAATTTTTGCTGAATTTTTCGGCCCCACGGGAATCGAATACGAAACCTCACGGTGAAATCGAATATGCCAACTTGGTTGTTAAAGGCCAATCTTTTTTTTTTTAATTCACTTATTAATCAAACAACTAGAAGGAATGAGAAAATATATAAGTAATATTTTAGCTAGTGTTAGTTAGCCATTCGCTCGAACGGTGAAGGGAAACATCGTATGGAAACCGACTTGCCTTAGACCCAAAAAGTTCACGGCGTGTGTCAGGCACAGGAGGCTGATCACCTACTTGCCTTTTAGATTGACATCATGAATCAGTACAGAAATCTGAGATAATATTTAATCAGTCTCTATTTAATTCCTAAGGTCTAGCCTGGGTAGCGAGCGCAAGTGGCGCCTCTGGGGGCATCTGCGAGAAATACAAAACCTACACCGAGACCACTGGGGGTCTATACCAAAGTACCAAGAGGTCCCTCAACACTGGTATCATCACATTCGTGAACTACAACAGTAGGGTGCCACCTAAGGTCAGCCAGCTTACGTTGGCACACGAGATTGGACACAATTTTGGATCGCCGGTAAGATTTTTATATCTGTTTGATTAGGATTAACCTGGTCTTTTAACCAGAATAGATTCTAAACAATAGTCTATTAATAATAATAAAAGCCTTATTTTAACTATACTTATTTAGTATTTCCCTTATTTTTATAGCACACTTGTTATCAGCAGCCAGTTGGTCAGGTTGTCTTTTGACATAGGCCTCCCCTGATTGTTCACTCGTTTCTTTCACGATCTGCTCTTCTCCATCTTTTGGACAGATCGTCTTCCCATCTCTTTATTGGACGGTATCTTTTCCTTCTCCCATCTCTGGGATACCATTTCATGATTCTTACGTCCATTTTCCTTTTTTCGACCTCACGATATGCCCAGTCCAAATCCGTTTAAGCTTTTTTAATTTTTGTTAATACATCGCATATATTTGTGCATTTCTTATAAAATAAAAAAAAATACAAAATATAAACACAGCAGTTTAGAGTACATACATACATTATAAATGGGGCTTGAAATCAGTAGGGGAGCACAAAAGCATTGAGATCGATATACATATATGTATATACAAAGTAAAAAAAAATTCCAGCACGACTACCCCTCAGACTGTCGGCCTGGAGGCCAACAAGGGAATTTTATAATGTTCGCATCGGCCACCTCTGGTGACAGGCCCAACAATAGCAGGTTTTCAACCTGCTCTGTCAGCAATATCAGCGCTGTATTGGATGCTGTAAGGGACGGAAGGAAAAGGGACTGTCTGAAGGAAAGCGCTGGAGCGTTCTGCGGGAATAAGATTGTCGAGGTCGGAGAGGAGTGTGATTGTGGTGAGTTTGCCTAGTGATAACGCCCAGTTGTTAGTAATTTTAACGAGTCGTATTTTCTATAGAACTATTGATTGTTCTTATCAGATTTCTTTGTAAATCTGGATACACTGCTCTAAAGTATTCTCTTTCTCTCAAATTGTGTTTACGCTGTGATAAAAAGAGATAGACGTCTACTAGTCAATAAATCTACAGGTTAAATGAAGTGTAATATAGGCCGATGAATCTTAATAACTGAAAGAAAAGGTTAGCTTAAAAAACAACCAACAACCGTTCGTAAATTGTTTTGTTAAAAGCTTACTTACTACAAGTAATACCAATGGCCCTACAACCTTTTAGGTCTGGCGCTCAGTATTTCTGTATCTGTTCCATGATAATTTCTAACAGCAAGGTGATCAACCATCTGTGTCTGACACACCTATGACACATGCCGGTTTCCTTACGATGTTTACAAGATACAAGCGAGTGTTAAATGCGCATATAAACAGAAGATTCCATTGGTGCAAAACCGGGGATCTTTCTTTTTTATTATTATTAACAGCGGGCAAGGGTGGAATGCCCATCTGATGCTAAGTGATACCGCCCATGGACACTCAGTGCCAGAGGGCTCGCGAGTGCATTGCCAGCCTTTTAAGAGTTGGTATGCTCTTTTCTTGAAGAACCCTAAGTCGAATTGGTTCGTAAATACCCACGATAGTCGCACGTTGTAACCAACACTGTTTATTAGAAGACTACTTATAGAAGTACAATAGTTTTTTTTTTTTTTTTTGTTTATTCCTTTATTTTACAAAATAATATAATACAATCATAATATGTTACATTAGAAAACCGCTGTGGTTTGTATAAATGTAACCATAGCAGTCTTGTTTAGGAGCGCGACAAATGCATATAAAAGTAGTTTTTTAATTTACTTTTTATGTTGGTTGGCGTTAGGCAATCTAAAATCTGATTGGGTAGACCATTTATTAGCCGCGGTAGCAAATACCTCAACGTTCTCTCGCCGTATACGTTGTTTGCCCTCGATGTACAGAGCCGAACTTGCGTTACCGCTCGGATCTGTACGTCATGCTCCACTCGTTTTTTTATGTCATCTCGAAAAAAGTGCTCGACTAGAAGACATTATTAACTTTTTCTAGTTAAAACACTAATAAGATGTTTTTTGTAATAGTCACGTTTGTGTTCCAGGTTATGACGAAATCGAGTGTAAGGACCGATGCTGTTATCCTCGACAAGTGAGCACATATGACCTTGACCGGAACTCGTCCGCTAAGGGCTGTCAGAGACGGGCCAATACGCAGTGCAGGTATATTAAGGAGTTTTTTATATAAAAAATCACCTAAACTCAGATTTTTCATTCCCTAGAATTCTGACATTTCATAAGTGTTGCTATTAAAAAGTTCTCCACCGAAAAAGGGACAAATTTGACCCATTTAAGGGGAATACTTACTAATTACTTACTTAAGTTACCTAATACAAAAATAACAAATATTTCAATATCACGAACAATATATCGAATTAACTTTAATTATTTTATATTATTGTTTAGCTGGCATCACTGCCTTCCAGGTTTAATAAACCTTTAAAAAAATATATATTATCTTTATATTTTTACTGTTTGTGTTGAAAAGGGACGTAATGATCACTTTTAATGTAGAGCACTTAATAAAATGGATACAAATAAAATGTATAGACTCAGATGTACTCGTATTGAAATTGAAAAATGTCCCGGCATAAAAGGTTTGTAATCTCTGACATGTCAAAAAATGATAGCTGTCAGAATTCTACGGAATTAAAAATTGTTAGGTCTTTTACTATAAAAAATTTTTTTTGGTGATTAATATACCTCGTCAATGCTTTAATAGAACAATTCTATAACCACATCACGGCATGTACCAGTATGCCTTTCCCTAAAGCTTTATAATTGACCAATGGCACTTCAAATAAGATATTTCCCCCCAGCCCCTCCCAAGGCCCGTGCTGTCACGCGCAGACGTGCCAGTTCGTGTTGGCCTTCCGTAACCAGACGTGTCGTGAAGCGACCGAGTGCAGCCACGCCTCCTACTGTTCCGGGCGCTCCGCCGACTGCCCCAACCCCAGGTCTCTGCCTGATCATACCAAGTGTAATAATGGTGAGTTTTCTAAATTATAATATATATTTTATTATGTCCTAAGTTGGTGATATTCCCAGGAATATCCTCAATTTTTTAAACATATTTTTGGGGTTCTCACTTTTGAGTTGCAAGAAGTGATTTTTTTTTATATATTGGGGCGTTGCAACACACTCAAGTTATCAGCTATAGATGCCTTTTACATATGAATTAACTTAATTGATAAATGAACATTTTAAAAAGCGCCTATAAAAATTCTCCTACAAAGCGTAAATGTGAATTACGGTAAAAAGTTACGTAATTTAAAAAATACAAAGAAGTGTTGGCCTACTGGCTTCAGCGTGCGACTCTCATCCCTGAGGTCGTAGGTTCGATCCCCGGCTGTGCACCAATGGATGTTCTTTCTTTGTGCGCATTTAACATTCGCTCGAACGGTGAGAACATCGTGAAGAAACCGGCTTTCCTTAGACCCAAACAGTTGACAGCGTGCTCGGCGTGTCACCTACTTACATATTAGATTGATAATGAAACAGATATAGAAATCTGAGGCCTAGACCTAAAATGGTTGTAGAGCTACTGTTCTTCTCATTAAAAAAAGGCACTGTTAGTACTTTTAAAATAGCGATTGATATATAACGATTCCCAAAACGATTCCAGGTACCCAGCTATGCATAAAGGGCGATTGCAGCGGTTCCATGTGCCTCGCGTGGAACATGAAGGAGTGCTTCCTCTCCTCGTCGCCAACCAAAATCGGGGATGGGGTCACGGCAGTTGTCAACCGCAGGGCCTTGTGTCAGCTCGCGTGTCAGACGGGGCCGGAGCCCGACTCCTGTCGCAGTACGGCAGACTTCGCCAAGCAAGTGGGTCTGCCCAGTGAGGGTATCAGCTTGAGACCTGGATCGCCGTGTGACAATTTCCAGGTAAGAAAACGCTCTTCCTCTATTTGCGAAATGTAATAGTTGTGGTGAAGGAAACATGCCTTAGACCCAAAAGTTCGTGGGGCGCAGAATGCTGATCAACTTGCCTTTGAAGAGAAATAAATTATCACGAAACGGATTGAAAAATCTTAGGGCATGCTGGGTCCATTTGAAATTGAACAAAAATCAATAAATTTTCAGACTTTGCAGACTGAAAAAATATGGTTGTCTGTAAAGTCGGTTTACGAACGATAGTTTAACGGGACAACGTCATAACAAAACATTGATAAAATGATTGCATACTTTTATGAATAAAATTGAATCATTTTTATTGAATTATTATCACTATTTTGTATGGATACAAAGAAGGAGTGAATCCTCGGACGCATAGGCCAATCGAGTGGAAGAGAGATAGATGCGGCGCAAGCGTACAATGAGCGTAACGGGACAATGAGTCATGATTTTTCGTGCGTGAAGCCGGCGTTCATCGATTTATTAGACGTTGTCACTTCAAAAGAAAGAAAAGTAATTTAAATAAATAATGAAGAATCCTACTCTTCCCTTAAATGCCGGCAACGCACCCACCTAAATGGGTACGTAAATGGGCTTTACCCCTATCCTATAAGAAAAAAGTTTGTGTGACATGATATTGTCGGGAATTATACGGGTTATATAAAATCAGGCTACGACCGCACCGCGGGTAAAGAGTACCTAAAGTATAAAAGCAAAATATTTCTGCCGGCTTCCTATAACCCCTTTTTGACATAAAAGGCCCGTAGGAGGCCCTGACATGTCCTAATGGATCAGGATGATACAATCACGATAGCTGAAGATAAATTTAAGAAAAATCTAAATCAGATTAGGGTAAAAACCGCCTTCACCGAGGAAGACGTTGTCCTTTACTTCGTACTTCGCTCTCTCCAGTGAGCTTCCGATCTGCCCTTCAGGCAATTGACCACCCCGCGACGGCCCAAGCTGAGGTATAAAGGACCTTAAATCCAACAGCGAGATCCCATTAAAAAAAAAGGACTATGTACCTAGAAGTTATATTTTTGGCATTATTAAAAATAGTTTGTTTTTCCACCTCCAGTTTTGATGTTTCACAGCATAATACAACTCTTTTTTGTATTCAATTTAGTGCACTTACACTATTCATCAATTGTTTTTTGTCTCTTGTCCTTATATTTGTAGAGAAAAATTACATGTTTTGATTAAACAATGTGGTAATTTTTTTAATCAAAACTTACTCGATATTAATACAAACTATGTTAACTTCAATTGTAATGAAGCACTTAAAGGTTGATGAGCACAGTTTTTCACAAATATTAATTAGTATTGGTTTAAATATTCAATTTAAATCACTTCTGATTATATATAATTCAAAAAGCTTGCTAAATTTCTTTGAAAAAATAATTAAAACTCCTTTATTTGTTTAAAAGGTAATACAATGTTTTGTCATTCAAAATTCTTGGCATACGAACTTCACCATATTCTATTTCTTTTTACTTGTAGATTGTCTTATTCCTATCTCCTCCCCCTATTCACCTCCTTTTTTGTCACGGTGGCGCGCATGTAAATTTCACTCTCATAAATTTTTCATAACGTGCCTAAAGAAGTATAACTTCAAATCGAGAAACGTCTTCCTATAGTCCTGGTTTCCACTCCCAGCGGATCATATCTTTAGGATTAAGCTGCTGTCTGTGTACATAGGTTTCAACTAAAATGTTACTTAGCTTTATAATGGCTATATATTGAAAAATCAAAATAAATTTCAGGGTTATTGCGACGTGTTCCTGAAATGTCGGGCCGTGGACGCCGAGGGCCCTCTAGTCCGGTTGAAGAACCTCCTCTTGAACCGCGAGACCCTCCAGACCTTGCAAGAGTGGGTGACCGAGAAGTGGTGGGCAGTTCTTCTCGGCGGGGTCATCCTGGTGGTGCTGATGGGAGCCTTTGTCAAGTGCTGCGCCGTTCATACGCCTTCCTCGAACCCCAAGCGACCGCCGGCCAGGTGACGTTTCATTTAAACCCATAACTCTCGAACCAAAAGTTCGGAGGAGTTCTACAAATACAATGACAGACAATTAGCGTGCTTTTTTTATGTAATAGGAGGCAAACGGATATTCACATTGCCAGAACACTCGCAAGTGCGGTGCCGGCCTTTTGATAGTATGAGTGTTTAAATACATAAATATAGATAAATTAAAGCTACTTAAACTGAATATTAAATTATACTATGATTTAATAATTTAATTAGATAAATTAATTTAAAAAAAAAATCATTGTATATCAGTTTTATAATATTTTATTTGCCAAATTTTGGCCATACATAGCTGTTATTATATAAATAATCTTCTATGTCGGTGAAAATAAAATATAAATGCCCCCAATTGTCTTATTTCGTGTACTCACGCAGACAAACAAAATACAAATGTCAATAAAGTATTCTTTAAAACCTTTCAATTTCTAAATCGAAATTATTTAAAATTATCAATATTTATTTACAGACGTTTTTCCGAAACCTTGCGTCGTCCGATGAACACTTTGCGTCGGATGCGTGGCGGCAACGCGGAGCCGCGTCGCGCAGGCCACGCCCCTCCGCGGCCTGGTCACCGCAGGGCCAGGAACCACAAGGGATACGCCCCTCCACTCACCTATACTGCCCGGGAACTGGGTGAGCTTTTCAATTGTCATTAATCAAGTGTATCAAAAAATATTAGCCTCAGTTTTCTGTATCTGTTTCAAGATTATTTTTCTTAATAGGGAAATAAGTAGGTGATCAGCCTTCTGTGTCTGACACCTGCCGTCAGTCTTTTGTGTCTGACACATGCCTACAGTCTTCTGTGTCTGACACATGCCGTCAGTCTTCTGTGTCGGACACATGCCGTCAGTCTTCTGTGTCTGACACATGCCGTCAGTCTTCTGTGTCTGACAAATTCTAAGATATAAATGTACGAGCGAGTGTTAATTGCGCACATAAAAGTATTTGTACTGACCCGGAATGCAAACCTACGACCTCAGAGAGTATCTCAATTATGCTCGCGATATTAATAATGGGTAATAATTATCCAGTGACGTCACAATCTTATATGAAGTGTGGCCTGTTTAAATTTTCTTTTTTCATAGACAAATATTCTGTAATGGTTAACTTTACTGTAAGTTGACAAAAAAGTTTTTATTCAAGTGTGTCATACAGACCAATTAAATTAAAAAAACTCGTATGTGTAAAACCCTCTAAAGATCTCTTTCCTCGAATCAGGCGCGGGTGGGCCAGGCCCGAGCGGGCGTCGCGAGCCGTACGCCAACGCGTACCCGCAGGCGTACGAGATGCGTCCGGCGCACAAGGTCTGACACAGCGTTCTGCCGCTGCTCTGCTACTTGCAGCACGCACACACGCACACACACCTCTCGTGAACACACACACGGCTACTTTTAGCGAGGCCTTCGATATTACGGCGTTTACTTTTGTAGAGATTTGTATAAAATTAAAGTTGCTTAGAGTTAAGTTTAATATTAAAGTTTTTTGTTCCATTATGAGTAATAATCACAAAAAATTCGCGATAATCTGAATATTTACGCATCGTATTTACCGAACGTAGTCAAAATTATACTAAAAGAAAATTAAACTTCCTTGTTTATTACGAAAATCTATAATCAATAAAAAAAATATTTTTGGCTTAATAACTGGCAAAATGTTATATCGAAAGCAATGCTAAAAGTATGAAATTCCGATGTTCACTGCCACATTTTTATTTAAAGCATTTAAGCCACTAAGCGATTATAGACATTGTATTTTACAGTATTATTTCATGTCCCGGAGATTGGACAAGTTATTTGAGACCCTCTAAACCGAGAATTTTATGTAATTTAATCAAGAATCAGGCTAGTAATATTAATGAAATCATTATCATAATATTTGCTAATCTGTTCGTAATTTTTTTTCTGAAACGAAGTTTTAATGAAATTCAGTAACATTTCCGAACTTTCCCATTGTTTGAAGTCAAGTCTATCTCCGGGGCATAGGCGAGTTGTTCAGTACAAATAGTAATACTGAACAACTATACATTTGTTCACGAGCCTTTAAAATAGGGCGGAACTGTTTCTAAAACTTTATAATACAAAAATTTGGTTTCGTTCATGTTTCTATACAATGATCAGTTTAGTTAATTAATTTACATTTATTAGCATTTTAGTTGTTTTTTTTGACGTGACGTCTAATAAATCGATGAACGCCGGCTGCACGAAAAACCATGTCCCGTTACGCTCATTGTACGCTTGCGCCGTATCTATCTCTCTTTCACTCGATTGGCCTACGCGTCCAAGAATGCGCTCCTTTGTATCCATACAAATAGTGATAATTCAATAAAAATGATTCAATTTTATTCATAAATGTATGCAATCATTTTATCAATGTTTGACGTGGTCACGTTAATGTATCGTGCGTAAACCGACTTTACAGACAACCATTTCTTAAATTATTCATTCGGTACGTAACCGTTCTTATCAACTAGTTTTTTAATTTCTCTTTAGAAACAGTTTCGGCGCAACCATTCTTGATCATAAGTTTGATATTCATCAAAATGCGTCAACTATTTGTATGAAAAACTAAAAAAATTATAAAAAATATTTCAAACTTATGGTAAAGGTTATTTAGTGTTCAATAAGAACTATAGCTAGGCCCATTTAACCTTATCGTGTTCTAAAATTAGCTATTATTTTTATATCGAAATCTCTTCAGTCGGACGTACCGACACGTGTGTATATTTTGTATATAATCAACATATACAATGTAAAAATATCAAATAATCGTACTGTTATTAGTTAGTAAACCGTTATTTTACTGGAATCTCCATAATTGTAATTTTATGTCATTATTTGTAGATGTGAGAAGTCTAGGTGCCATTTAGAGATTTTCAGGATTAGCATTCCGATCGGAAAGCATTTGAATTCCGAGTCGACTGTCAATCTCAATTTTACATCACCAATAAAATCTATCTATCTATAGTTTAACTATTAATAGTTGAATGAAGTGGCAGTGACTTTAGTTTCCGTTTGGCGAATTGAAGTAATCGTGAACGACTCTGAGAGCGGTTTCGAATTCTTTCCGTTCGTAATGTTCCAAAGCAATTCAATGACTCGACAATTGTCTCAAAATTATGATTAACGGGCTCATTACGTATACGGCCCCGAAAGGTTGTTGTGAAGCTCAAATTTGGCCCAATTGATTACAATTAGTCTTCCTATGGCAATTAGTTTAATTTCGTAGATATAAAGACATTGCCAAATGATCAAAATGTTTTAGACTGATCTTTCGATATTCAGCTTGTTTAAGCGTTTTAAAAGTCCAGCTCAAAATTTAATTTAGGTGAAAAATGAAAAGCTCCAATCGTATTGCATGAAGTATTAATGTGTACAGTTGAATTGATCTCTCCTAGGTAATTCGTTTCGTACTCCGTCGTGCAAGCCAAAGAGCATGATGTTTTATTATTTTCTATATATTAAGGATAGTTCTCGTCTAAGTGTACCGTGTTAATGCCATTTTTAGGATCGATATGCATTGTAATTAAGCATTGTATATTTGTATGTATGGATGAATGTGGGGCGATTCGACCAATTGACTCGCGACGCGCCCTTCGCGTAGTAATGGCATTATTTCTCCTAAGTGTAAGCTAGTTTACCGTTATAGATTATTTAAACAGACAATGTGAATATTTTTAATTAACGAGATAAATGTTACAACATGTGATTTCAAAATAACAAAAAAATACAATAAATTTTACATGATCTTATTTTGGTTTTTTTTTTCATTTAATGAAGCTTCCCTTTCCTACACTGTCATGCCCACAGCCTCGTGAAGAAGCCATCAAATAAATTAGAGAAAACGATGTTTCAGAAGATCTTTTACTTCCTCATGATTGAATACTTATTTTGTGCTTAACTTAGTTTGAGCAATTGGGTATGAACACAGAACACGGATCTTCAATGAAACAAAGTCGTTGATCTATAGCAATTTATAAACTCGACATCTTCGAAGTCTGTAGAATGGGATTGTCGTGATGGAACGAAGTTCCTTATCGCGCGTTGTGAAAGGGGGCTAGACGGAAAAAATTCTTACGAAAAGTTGTCACGACACTTTTTTGCTATTTGCTATTGTAATACACCGGTTCTCGTCCGATCACCGAAGTTAAGCAACGTCGGGCGAGGTCAGTACTTGGATGGGTAACCGCCTGAGAACACCTCGTGATGTTGGCTTTTTTTTGTAGGGATAAGAAATGAAAATTATTTTTGGAATCACTTAACTAAATTAGTCTTGTTGGAACGAAGTTATCGAGCGTTGCGAAAGGGGGCTAGACGGAATAAATTCAAAAGTTGTAACGACACTCTTTGCTATAGTTGTTATATTTTACATTTTCGATTTAGCTATCGCCAACGTCCATACCACGTTGAATACACCGGTTCTCGTCCGATCACCGAAGTTAAGCAACGTCGGGCGAGGTCAGTACTTGGATGGGTGACCGCCTGGGAACACCTCGTGATGTTGGCTTTTTTTTCGTCGTAAGATTGGTGTCGAGAAAATCTATCATACTGTTATGATACCAATTAACATATAAATTGATGAATTTCGTTCCATCCGGGTGTCCCTTGACACCTCTAAAGTTTTTTCTTATCTCCATCGATTTTTTAATAACAAATTTTTATATTCACACTTCCTAAACTCAGAATAATCGAAAATAAGACTCTTCATTATCCGAAATTTAAAAATTATAAAGTTTTTACTATATAAGACATAGTACATCTTATTATGTATTTTAATAACTTTTACTTTTTGTTCTTAACTTTTAGAATAGCTTATTCTGTGATTAAAGGCGAAATGGTCAAACTTTGTTTCAGTCGCGAGGTCATGTTACAAATTGAATGAACTAAATCTAATTACTGCTGAGATCACGTGGAAACAGACGGGCTGGTTTATTCGATGTCATGGTATGAATAAGCGATGCATCTCAGTCGTAGGTTGTCAATAGGCTCGCAATAAGAGTTCATGGTAGGCCCCCTGATTTCAATGAATGAAGGCTAAATAAATGTATCAAACTTAACGTTATTGCGAAAAAATCCGTTGTGTCCATGGCCAGCGGTATTACTTAACATCAGATGAAATTGTAAATTTTCTCGTGTTAAGAAACTAAAAATAGTAATCGACACAGAAAATACCAACACTGGCCCGTCCGAATCTCATTAAAACGAAATATACTATTTAAAAAATTTATTATATGATTATATTATACAAGTTACAAAATGTCTTACATTAATTTGCGCATAATCTTGCTATATGCAACATAATTAAAATTATTTCAAAATACAGAGTGCACGTCATATTATCTTGTGGGTGGGTTCAGAAACAAGGCTTTTGAACTAAAAGTATTTAACTTAAAATATCCTAAAGGTGCTTTCTCGCTTCGCCTTTCTCAGTGTAATAGCCGTTAGAAGCAAGTATTGACAGTGACAGAAGCATAACAAAGTGTAGTGGCAATAAACAACAAATATTGACTTATAAAGAATTACGTGAAGTTATTGGTCAAGTTAAAACATACACAATTTTTGGATGTTACGGTAGAGCACCACATACATTAAACTTAATCAAGAGGCGAGTTATTTCAAAGATATTAGAGATAGTGTAGATGATAGTCAAATTTTATCTATTAGTACTGCCACATAAAATATCAGAGAAAACAATAATAAAAGATCTGACAACTTTTAATAACGTAAACATTGTGTTTGCTTATAATCTAAGATGAACTACCCTAAACAATACTTATCTATCATGTAAAAATGTTTAATAAAAGCACATGTATAAAAAGGCAAATATAAACTTAATTTTATAAATAATTATATTCAAAGTCATCCTACAAACGAAGCCTAAATAAATAGTTATCTATAATTTCGTTCATTATATGAGAAGGAATCTTAACCAGTCTTTAAAGCCTAGAAGAATGCAAATATGGAATTATTCATAATCTCTCTTTGCTAACATTCATTTAAATCCTAGATAATTAACTCGTATCAGGTATTACGCGTGCATTATAAATAAACGATTATTTCACAAAAACTACGGCTAAGATGTTTTTCCTAACACATACGTGATATTTTTCTAATATCAGCGAAACTAAGAATGCAATAGCATTTGTTCCTGCTTGTAAACTTCATGATAAGCGTTACGTATCAATACATAAGGGAAGCACGACTCTAGAAGATCCATAGTGAGGAACGGGGACTCCTGCACGATGAGATCGAGAAGAAGATATACGGATTCCCGATTTTTTATCGCCTCCTTCTCTGTCTCTTGACCGAGGCGCAGCAATGACGATGACGCTAGTGCCAAGAATTCCTTCATTCTGTCTTCGATATCTCCTTGTCCGCAAATTGTGAAGAGAGCACCAAAGATATGATTGATTGCAGGTGCCATGCAATGAATGTTGTTTGCGTGTCCTTCAAGTGAAGGCCTGTAAAAGGAGCCATCGCCTCTAGCGAGTCTTGGAAGGGAGACGGCAACAAAGACCATCAAAAGACACACTATCAAATGTTCTTCCTCCTCGACTTCGGCCTTGTGCTGTCGGAGTGCAGAAGCCAAAGTAGGATCTACCTTGCATGGCAGGCCAGCCGCCGAACACATTTCTGATATGACACGCATAGGATCACCACTGGGCAACTGCTGCTGGAAGTCCTTAATGGAACTGATCAGGAAGGGAATTCGCCGTTCCAAAACATCGAGTAAAGACTCTTGTGCTACTTGACGGAAGCTCAAAATAACTCCTATTATTGTCATCCTTTGCAGTACATTGTCAACTTGTTGCAACCGTTTGAATTGTTCTCGCATAATGTCTGGTTTATCAAAGTTTGTTCTGAGCATTTGCAGTACTTCTTTGTTTTGCACCACCAGTTTTTTTAGCTCTTGGACTTGGCTCGCAATGTGCCACATTAGAGTTTCGCTTAATAGCTTCATTCCATACGGCCCTATTAATTCAGCTAAAGCTCTCAACTCATTAATGTCTGAATATTCTTCAGCATTGAAAGGGATTGCACCTTCAGCGGAAAGACTTACGAAAGCTTTTTGATTTATTGAGTAACAAATGTTGCCAGCACTAACGCGTCGCAGCAATATTTCAGAATACCATTGGGTATATAGAGATGCTATTGTCTTTTCGCCGTGACTGTCCATATTTTGCGTCTGTTGAAGCAAACAATTATTGAAGACGCGCGTTATATCAATGTGCACATAATTTTCAACCGTTTGAAGTACATTCATGTAAGCTCTTACACTGACAAGCAACTCCGATGGCTTAGCAATTTCACTTGTGTCTTGATTAAACATTACCATTCCCACTAATGCTTTTGAAAATCTTGTTTCCAAATGTTGGTGTAAATATTCCCGGGGTGCAAAAGTGTATTCCCAAACATTGACAGTTGAACAATAATTTATAGCAAAACACAGTTCAGTTAATGCCATGTGCAATTTATCCATAGTAGTCAACTCCTCTCTTGTTTTCCTATAACTTTCTGCACCTGGTTTGACTATTTCAATGTGATTTTTCTTATTTTTATCTTTTTTCTTGCGATTTGCAAGGTGAGCAATTGTTTGGGCACAATGTTTTGGAAGGAGCTTATCACTCATTGTACATTGCTCGTCACAAATGGTTGTAATAATATTCTTGGCTTCCTTTGCCATTTCATCCAAATAAATGTTAACAACAGATAGACTCCTTTCTCTGATATGATGTCTTTCTTCAGGGCATAATTCATGGGTACAATTTTGAAAGTGACTGCAGATGAGAGGGAATGCAATAATGTAACGATTCTGTGCTGGAAACTCTAGGCACATGTGAAATTGACTTTCAAAAATTTTACTGTAAAAACAAAACAAAGATAAATCAGAGGTCTCAACCATAATTTCATCCAAATTGTCGACCATTTTGGTGTGAAATACCATTTTATCAATGAACTGTGATAATTCTCTTTGGTCAACAAGGCTGAAAGGTGCTTTTGCTACTGATGTGTATGCTTGGAGGCGGAACCAATCTAAACGGAAGGCTCTAAAGTCAAAGAGCTCATTACTTTCAACTTGCTTTACACTCAAATTGGCAGCAGTGTTACATAATGAGGATAATATAATACTTTCATCTTCAGGGCATACTTGCAAATTTTGTATCATAAGATTCAAGGCAACAGCATCAAAACCAGATAAATACTGAACATAGTATCTTTGCATCACCTGACTATATTTGCGGACTAATGCTCTCAATTCCTCCATATGGAAAAGCAACTCAGGGAGCTGTCTGTCCACTAAATCTTCAGTAGCCTTTCCTTTAACCTTTTGTGGAGGATTATCGTTGTGTCTAAGAAGCCAAAATACTTCATCTCTAGCATAACATAGGCCAATAAATATAAGCAATGCCTTAGGGCCCAGCAATCCTGGTTGGTCAGTAAGAATAAGACCCAATTCTTTCAATGCTGTTCTTAGGAACTTTCGCCGTTCTCTATGCTTATAACCAGCTTTTTGAACAGAGTGGTGATAGCAATCTTTGACTTCTGATATCCTTTTTCCATAACCTTTAATACCATCAAAGAAACTCTGAATGTAGGAGTGTATATAAATAACCTCATCTCTGAATAAAGCGACAACCCAACCTGACTCCAATGCACTCACCCACATCTTGTTTGCATGGTCTTGTTGAAGCATCTGATGGCACATAGCAAAACCAAAGATTACCCATCTCTCTAGAGACTCAAGAGTTACATATTCACAAGACATGGTATTCGTTTCAGATGGTTTCAAAAGTAAAGCTGGGTTGCTGACTAAACTTAGCTTTTGTTCTGAACGCCAATGTTCTGCAGTCAAGTTTCTAGCTGGATAAACATGCCACAGTGAATTCAATGCACTAGAGAGTACTTTTTGGTGGACCAAAAACTCTTCAGATAGTTTTTTTAAGGGTGTATCATAGTCCACAATCAATTGACCTAATCTCGGAAAGCTTGGATCAATCTGACTGTGGACCATCTCATGTGCTGCATTGAACAAGCCAAGTACTGCTTTGCGATCTTCTACTCTTGACAGTAATATCATCAAAGAAACATAGGTTGTGACTAAGTCAAGGTAATTTTTTGTGAGTTCAAAGTTTAATGTCAAGTCTAACGTAACTTGGCAAGCATCCATTATATTCAAAAGTTCACATACATTATCTTTGAAATCAAGTAGATCCACAAATGTGTAGTAATACAATGATAGTGATTTAATTATTTCATTTCTAATATTTGTTATTGCTTGAAGGCCTTTTACATCAATGTTTGGGAATCTTCTGACAATGTGCTTTATAGAGGACTCCAATGTTTTATCAGACAGGAAGGCCGGTTTAGATTTTGTATCACCACATGCCTTTTTAATGTTATAAATTCTAGTGAGCATTCCAATACCACGGTCATTTAGTATAATAAGTTTTTCAGCCAGCTTTTGCTGACTGATATGAACTGATCTGGGCATTGTAGACATTCTGGAATAAATTATAACTATTATTGGGGTCTTTATTATAAATTTAACTATAATTATTAAAGTCTATTAGCATCAAATAAAAGCCATAATGACTGCTTTAATTACATTGATAATAAGGGGAAATAATGATAAACAATTAAATAGATATATTTTATCTCAACCAAAGAAGATAAATACATTAGCGGTAGGTCACAACACACTTGATCTGATTACAGCATTAGAAGAACTATTAACTATAGCGACCGCGGTCACGGTATACCGATAACTTTACTGTAAACGAGATATGCTCACCTGGATTTTGTCTAAAAGTCAATAAGTTACAATTCCATTACTTAACACTTCTCGAAATATTTATATATCTTGAGTTAATACACAAACTGAACTGATGTATTACTTATCTACTTAACCATTTATTAAATTATAAAACAGGAAAAGGGAGTGTCGTTTACATTTGCTTGTCCCCCCCGTAACTCGTTTACCAATCATTGACAGTACATTGTCATACAAAATTTGTGAGTAACGCGTTATACTAACAATCAAACCGTCAAATGATAACGACATTAAGTTTAACCGTAGATGACGCTGTCAGTTATCATTTCGTACCAAAACGTACCGAGAACAGATAATAAAGGTTATATTATTTATATGGAAAAAAGGAATAAAATTGCGAACTACTTCACGAAAAATTGTTTTCTTACAAACTACCTGACCTTTTTAGAGCACCTAACATAGCTTAGCGGAAAATTTGTCTAAACAAGTATGAGGCAGCATTAATACTCTTACCTTATGAAAATTTTAATTTTACAATCCACTTACCAATTGAGTTCACTCAGCGAATAGATAACAACTACAAGTAAAAAGAAATAGAATATGCTGAAGTTCGTATGCCAAGAATTTTGAATACCATAATGACTTTTGTATTTACCTTTTAAACAAATAAAGGAGTTTCAATTATTTTTTCAAAGAAATTTAGCAATGCTTTTATTATAATCAAAGTGATTTAAATTGAATATTTAAACCAATACTAATTAATATTTGTGAAAAAAACTTTATCAACCTTCCTAAGTGCTTCAATACAATTGAGGTTAACTATCCGTATGTATTATTATTATCGAGTAATGTTTTGATTAAAAAAATACCACATTGTTTAATCAAAACATGTAATTTTTCTGATTTAATCTAGCAAATATAAGGACAAGAGACAAAAACAATTATGAATCAGTGTAAGTGCACTAAATTGAATACAAAAAAGAGTTGTCATCTTATCGCTTGAAACATCAAAAACTGAGGTGGAACAAAGCCAAACTATTTTTAATAATGCCAAAGAAGTATAACTTCTTACGCCGTACATAAGTATCAGGCAGCATTTTTTAAGAGAACTTTAAAAAATAAAATATGTTCTATAAACAAACAAAAAATAATGTAATTTTTTGCTGGTATTTTGGGGTAGGTCTAGGTAACCCCTAGGTGTGAGAATTCGGCTCGCACTTGGTGACTTTTTATGTATATATCTCGTCCAACAACAACGTCGTGCGTTTTTGCTGGGCAGGTTGAGGTAAGATTCACTTGAATTTTGGTGAGAGCAATCGGCAAACTACTTTACGCTAAATGTTTTTAGGAGTAGATCAGACTGCATGGGCCAGAATATACTTAGCCTGTATGTGCCTGAAAAGTTTTCAATGGCCTGTTGTCTGAGTGGAGCTTACTAATTAATGTCCTCTGCCTGCGGTCACGAATTCCGCACTTGGCTTCACTGCTTAACCGTTTCCTCAGTTATTTACCAGAACATAATAACAACGGATATATTTGTATTAAGTTTGGGAAGAGGAGACTGAGAGATGAATATTAGTTTGTATTGATTTTTTAAGTAGAAATAAAATTTGCTAGTAATTTGGCATCTATGATGTAAAGGACTAAATAAATAAATAAACATAATATAGTATATTTGCTAACTAATTTAGTGTTATTAATTTGGTAACAAAAGTTTATGACTTTAAGGTACTAGAGCAAATGTACTACACAAACCTATCCTAGCTTTATCCTAGTACTACACAAAATAGTATAGCGGCATAAATTTCATATTACTATAGCACCCGGCGCTTGATCCCAAGTATTAAGTTTGTGTGTCAACTTAAATATGTGAAACTGAATCGATTTACTAGCCAGTTACGAGGGACTTAATATATTTTATGTAATATAACTCCATTGGATGCGCTTCGCCAGTTCAGAATAATCGTACCTACTATAAGTAGTCTAGCCATAAATACGGTTTTCTTTTTTCAACTTTTATTTATTTTGAATTTGGAACACGTATATTACTTATTTTAAAAACTTCTTTTTGGGTAATGCACAAACCGTGCCAGAGTCATAAAGAGAAGAAAAAAACTTCTTTCGATTTTGCGCCATTTCACAAATTTTTTCGAGATCATTATCAAATTATTTTATTATTAATCATTATTAATATGGAATGGGGTGTTAAAGAAAATAGACTACGTATATATGATACCTAATGGATGAGAGTAAGAAAAACACAAACAAGTATTTCTTTATCTATCTCTATCGTGGCATTTTAAAAGATTACATCACATTAGCATTCTATCTTCATTTTTATTTGTAATGAACTATATAATTTATAATTTACATTAAAATAGCATTGACTCTGTAAACATCTCTGCTGCAATAATATAGAAAAAAAAATGGTTATTAACCTTTTACTTGATTTGATGCATTATTTTCAATTGATTTTGTATACAAAAGGAGCGTCCGAAAAAAATTTCCGACCTAAAATTACATTTAAGATAAGTAACACTTCCTACACGAATTCCAGTATAAGCTGGTTACGCCTACTGCAAACTATTTGGTGTAGAGCTGATTATACTTTAACTTCCGTATCCTGTCAGTTATCAAATTCGCCGGAAATAGCTGGGTAAAGCTAGGCTATAAGAATTTGTTATTCGAACGGATTTCGACTCGGCAATTATGTGATAATCGACCAAACGCTGCCGTGGTGAAATGCTGGATTTTATATAATAGTTCTTATCTTTAAAATCTTTTTGTTATTTCATAAATAATAGGATAGAGTTTAAAAATATTTTATTTTCATTTGACCTAAAGCCGCTAGTCAATAGGCAGACTAGATTAATTTACAATTGTATTTGCTATAAGCTTTAAAAAAATGAAATTAAAAATGTAATCTAAATTAATTTTTATTACACGCCTAGTTTTATACAAAGTTTGCTCAGTTGTAATAATAGCTACGCATGGAGTTATTTTCTAAAATGGATTATGTATTGTTTTTCACGTAAACATCTATAATTTGATTGTGAAATTAAATAATTATTTCTTGTAACAACTTTGGAAATCCATGTTCTGGCTGGAAAACTCTCAATTTTGTTATGTGAACTAGCAGACTAGTACCTATAGGTAGCTGGTTTCTTGAGATTCAAGTCTTTCACCTTCAAGTTTCCCCAAACGCACTCGTATAAAATGGATTTTTATAGGCTATTAAGATTTTATTACCTATTGTTAATTGACAATAGTCAAGTCATTTTATTAAAAAAATAGTAAAAAAAGGGTCCGTGTACTTATGTACGTTGGTATCGAGTAAAAGAAGTTGATACTTCTTTGGCAATATTAAAAATAGTTTGGCTTTGTTCCACCTCCAGTTTTTGATGTTTCACAGCGATAAGATGAAAACTCTTTTTTTGTATTCAATTTAGTGCAGTTACACTGATTCATCAATTGTTTTTTGTCTCTTTTCCTTATATTTGCTAGATAAAATCAGAAAAATTACATGTTTTGATTAAACAATGTGGTTAATTTTTTAATCAAAACATTACTCGATAATAATAATAATACATACGGATAGTTAACCTCAATTGTATTGAAGCACTTAGGAAGGTTGATGAGCACAGTTTTTTCACAAATATTAATTAGTATTGGTTTAAATATTCAATTTAAATCACTTCTGATTATAATTCAAAAAGCATCGCTAAATTTTTTTGAAAAAATAATTAAAACTCCTTTATTTGTTTAAAAGGTAAATGACAAATGTCATTATGGTCATTCAAAATTGTTGGCATACGAACTTCACGCATATTCCATTTCTTTTTACTTGTAGATTGTCTTATTCCTATCTCGCTCGCGCACGCTATAATCACACTCCTAATTTTGTGTCACGGGTGCGCGCGCATTGTAAAATTTCACTCTCATAAATTTTTCATAACGCGCCTAAAGAAGTATAACTTCAAAAAAAACAAAACAAAAGACGGATCATGTTACGACTATGAAGTATGAAGATTAAACTTATTATAAGTACATTATGTATGAAATTAAAGTGTTTAAAAAATAGATAAATACAGACGTTAAATAGTGACTAATACATAGACGTTTGAAAATGCATACATCAGACCCACAAGTTTTCTGGCAGCGTCTGTGGATATCACATTCATCATTCAACTCACCTGACCTGAATTTGCCTAATTTCACTTGTATCACCTAAACGTCCAGCATTTCACATTTTTATGCCAGTATCTGCCACTACCACTATATGGAATTTGCCCACTGAAATATTTACCAACCAATTCAGGGTTCATCAAGAAAAGAGCGTACCAATTCTTAAAAAGCCGGCGGCGCACTCGCAAGACCACTGACATTACGACTGTCCATGAGTGGATGTATCACTGAAATCAGATCAGCCTCCTGCCATAAATTCGGTACAAAATAACAGTAAAAATATGGAAAACTATCAAAACCATTGAAATTATTTCATAGTTAGGTACTATAACAATATACAATAATCACATATAATAGATTAATGATCCTGTTAAAAAAGACTTTACAGAGAGGCTTTTTTTTTAAAAAATTTTTTTTTTATTTTATTTAATTTTTAAATAAATATTTTTTTTTTGGGTGGGGGGGTGTTTTTTTTTTTTTTTTTTTTTTTTTTTTTTTTTTTTTTTTTTTTTTTTTTTTTTTAATAGGTATGTTGACTTTTCAATCAATATTGTTAATAGGTAGTAAAAACACAATTTTATAGTTATATATACTTATTCTAAGTTATATTCTATTATTAATAAATATCTAATAGATCTACTAATTAAACTATTTTTTTAATCAATTGCTCTAAAACATCTAGTATAGATTTTCGTACACGTGTTGATCGGTCACGGGTTTTGAAAAACCAATTTTTTAATTTTTATCTATCACATAAAATTCTTTATTTTCAGTGAAAATCGCCAAAAAAATCGCGACTACCTCTAATATAAGAACAACTGGCAATATCATTATTGTTGCTAAAACTAAGATAATTTTAAAATAACCGTACTGCTTCATAGAGTAAGATCTAATAGAGCCATAGATATGCAAGTATATCCCAACGGCTCCGATGAAAGCTATTAATAAATCTAATACATATGGAAACGGCACTGGATAGTATTCAGCTGTGAAATAATTGCACACTCGAAGAGGTAGCGACAGCCACGCGTACGTATGTAATAGAAATAAAAGCCTATACTTCAATGGAATCTTTTCACAATTACCGGTTATAATCATACCCTGAAGCCAACGCTTTCTTTGTCTAATAAGGTCAAACACGGTTAATGGACTCAACTCCCACATTTCGCCTTCAATAAAGTTGAAAGTGTATCCCATGCTGGACGCCTTTAGAGCGAAATGTCCGTCCGAAATTGAGCCCTCAGGTCCATGGTCAAACGAAACTTTCCTTTCAGAAATCGCCTGAAGAGAAAAATCATCTATTTACAATAATTGATTATACCTATCAAATTTACACATAAGAAATGAAAATCTTTAAATGGTTTCAAACTAATAAAGATGATAAAGAAAGATAGATCTTTGTTTTGCTAGAAATTTCTTACCTTAGCGACCATAAATGAACCTTTCCAACCTAAAATCGGCTTATTAAATGCGTAAAACTGGAACCGAAACATCCCCATATCTTGGGCTACGCGATAGGCATCAGCAAGCGTAGTAAACCAATTTACTATTTCACTAGCATATAGTATTGTTCCTTGGCCAAAATCATATTTATCTTCAGTGACAAAGTTCAGTATACCTTTCAGTGAGTCTTCCGTTAGCAGAGTCTCTTCATCTAAATGAACAATCCAATCCGAATCGCTCAATTTATTAACACTATCTTCCCAGCAATAATGTAAAGCTCTAGCTTTAAACAGTGAACCATTTTTAGTTTCATAACTACTGGGGATAATAATTTCTCTGACCTTTTCGTTTTTTGGGATAAAAATGGGGTAATCGGTGACAACTTCTAGTACAAAATTTTCTAAACCAACATTTTTACAAATTTCTAGGTTCCTTGGTACATTTCGTAAAATGAGATTTGGAAATAATCCTCGTGTAACGACTCTTATGCATATAAACGGTGCACGTGTCAACGAACTTTTCAATTCCACGTTTTTGGGGAAAGCATTGTAAAACACAAGGCCACAAAAATTAAAAATCGTTTGTATAATCGGGAATAAAGGAGATAACCTTAAAAAGTATAATATAATGGTACCTAGTAATCCATAAGTCCCGATAATATTTCTGCTGCTTTGTTGTCCTTTCTTGATAGCACTCATAAAAAGAAAAATTAGTAGAAAAAGAAACATACAGTGAAAAACATGCTTTCCTTTGTATCCTCCCATATCGTATTAAAAAATGTCTTTTAAACACAATACCATCACATTTATAAACTATCAATCCATTGCAGTTTTTTTTAATAAAACTGTAACATAAAATATTAAGTACTTAACATTATCTATTTGCATGTAACCTTCAGTTTTATTGCTTTTTGTTGCAATGTCACATATATTAATACTTTCGCTACTTACATATTTTCATAAAATATTGGATTTTTTGTCAAAATTGTATTCTGAAGACTGCATTCTGTATCCTGCTGTAGTTGATAACTGAACATAATATTGTTAAAGACAAGATGACAAAATAATTAGTGAATTCTTTATTCATTACCTACTGTTTTTTAAACCATTTAGGTATATATTTTTAGATTATGTGAATTAATTAAATACCATTTAAAGTAAAAGTATTTGCTTCCGACAAGTCACATTTGTACTTTCCAATTTCTCCAGAACAAGCACCAAAATTCATAAATGGGCAGTGAGCTATCGAAATTGATTTCAAATTCAAACTGGTATGTCACAAATTGTATCTAGCTCTCATCTCAAAGAAGGATCGGGAACTTATATTGGGGCACCAGAGTTTAGATTTTATGAATAAAACTGGTCATGTTCATGCAGAAACTGTATATATGGACTAACAAAAGATATTTAGGAACAATATTAATTATAAAAAAAATTAAGGGACACCCTTTCCAGGCCTCGGGAGGGAGGATCATCAGCCCCATGAACCCCTGAATCCACACTTGTCTGGTGGATTGTTTTTACCAAAAATCCCCTTAATTAAATAATTTAATGACCTGCATCACAGTTTTATCTATAGCACTGTTTTATTAGGCTTTTCAGTAAATTTGACAGAAGTTCCAGGGAGCGTTATCCGAAGTACAATCTATAAAGACTGAAAGGTAGGCAACTCAACGGCGATGGTCAAGATAAAAGAATTGATCAAGGAACGAATCATCGTCTATAATGCGCTTAGCCCGCCTCTCAATAGCATCCAAGACACCCAGATGACATTTGGCAAGACCGGCCCAGAAATGACTGATGATTAAAATTCAAAATCATTTATTCATTTAGGTAACACAATGTACACTTATGAACGTCAATAAAGGAATACATATTAAATGCTTCTAATTTTACATTTACTGCCAGTCCTAAATCAATACAAACAGACCAGAAGAACCGCCACTCTGTTTAATCACCAAGTTTATTGTTTTACAAAATGTTTGTAAGAAGCTGCAACCATTACACCATGTTCCAAATGACATCTTTAAGTAATTAATACTTAATTTTAATAATAAAAAAAAAACAAAGATTTGTCCTCTATCAGCAGCAGGAATGGTGAAATAGTAGCACAAACTGACAAGTTACATTGTCCTGGGAACAACGCGCAAATACAAAGTCGAAATAACTAACATCTCCGCATACACGAATTCAAGACCAACCAGTCACCACAAGTAGCACCCACGAATATGAAGCATGGTTAGCCATCGGCCCCCTCACCATATTTTAGGGGAGAGAAAACCCGACGCATAAACGCCGCCACATGCAATGTCATTTAAGCGAGCATGACGATCCTTGAAATGTGAACTTGGATATATTCTGAAATAATTTGTTTCCATACATGAATGGACTTAATCTTGATAAAGATTAAGAAGCCGTTCCAGTGTGAAGAACTTTCCGAATTTTGCCGAAATACCAAGTTTTTTGCCTGCCATATTGCCTATTGAGATCAGCTGACAAGATAACGCCAAGCAACAAAAGACAGTCAGCTATTTCCAAAGAAACACCCCGGAAGGTTGGACTAAATCCAACAGCTATTTTTTTGCAACTCCTTAGACAGTCCTGGGTTCTATTTCTGTTAAATTGGACTAGGATCACATCGCAATACGAATGCTCCTTTAAGGTCCTAAATTGGATCTGACCACAGATGCATTGGGTAACCGAAATGATGAGAGCTTGTCCAAGAGGCTTGCGTGCCAAACTATATTGAAGGCATTAGAAATGTCAAGGGATACAGCAAGTGGTTCTCTATGGCATTGGAACCAACTAGCCACTGAAGTATTTCAGAAGCAATTCATCATAGGGTCCTTCAATAAAAAGAATGCTTACCATATATGAACAATATAATATTACGGTACAGCTTGAAATGATTTTTCTAGACATTTGTCCTCCTATACAATCTACATTATACTTAAGACTCTAAACATCTCTTATTATTTATCTTTCATGTCCTGACAACATTGTTGATTTTTTCTGCGACTTTTTGGTAATTCTGCATTTTCATCAAACATGACATTGTCCAGCTTAACAGTGTCTTCGGTAATTCTTGCCTCTAAAAAAGAAAAAAATATATATACTTATCTGGAATGTTACTTAAAAGAAGTCTTTATTATATTAATTTCTTACCAAACACACCAGGCTTGACTTCTCGGGCTTGAATGACTTGAGTTTTCAGTTCTTTTTCAATTTCCTCACTAAACTTAACCATCTGAAATTTAGAATATAAGTAGTACATACAGTAAAACTATTAAAATTCGGTATAGGTTTAAATTTTAATTACAACATATTTTTCAAACATCTAAATAAAACATCATATAATTAAATATTACATTAGTAAAAAGAGCTATCATAATTGTAATTAAAGTGACGCAATATGTAACTTACGGCTTTTATTGCCTCTTCATCTTTGACTGCTTTATTTTTCTTATATTCATCGTTTATTTTTAGTCTGGCTGCATTTAGTGCCTTATGGTCCCCATCGAAAATTTTAAGTCGAGTTCGATGCAGGGTTTTAAAATTTTTCAATACCTATGAAGGTAACATTTTTATAATATATTTGCAGAGATTAGGCAAAGCATATACCTAGTATACATACAGTATGTCTTAGTTTTTCCATTTTAAAAAGGTGAGATGCCTAATTTTATGATTTCAAAACAGCTTACTCGTAAGTCGTAATTTCAAAAGTTATCGTACCAGGGCCGTAAAATTATCGTATATGTGATCCATTACGAAATTTCGTACAGTCAGGAAAATGGCTAAAAATACTTTAAAAAATCATATGAAACTGAAAATAAATGTTGCAAACGATTTATAGTTTAAATCTTGTAAACTTGTGTTTTTCAAATTGAAAAATCATAATAATTCATCTTTCGTCAAAGAGGAAAAAAAATAGCAATATATTCCGTTGAAATATGGTGTTCGCTCTAAGTGATACTTACCTATTGTCCGTAAATGCATATTATTTTTTCACTTAAAATTCGTTAGGTATTAAAATGTTATCGAAGACTTCCAAATCTGGTCACATACAAATCGTGAATTTTTGGCTGTGCATTCTGATGCGTTTTTGTGTTTGTACATTAACGCTTTGTTCATCTGCTGTAGTTGCCTTGTGACAGCATAAGTTCCTAATAGAAAAGTAAGCCAATGGCACTGACACTAAAAACTGTAATTGGGCTTCTTTAATATCAAATTTTTTTCAGACTGAAATTATCGTACAACTGCGTACGATAGTCATTACCATCGTACACGTACGTAGTTATGAAATTATCGCAAATGTACGAATTCGACGGTTGTGAACCCTGGTCGTAATTAATACATAATACGATTTACGAATTGCGATTACGATATAAAAAATTACAACAGTTAATGACAATTAACTGTCATAGGCATAGCTTATATCAAAATAAATTTATTGAAATTTGAAATTGATGCTATTGTGTTGTATCTATGGTGTTTAATGTTGTCAAATGACGTCAAATTGACGTCAAATAGTGATTGATCATTGACGTCTTGCGAAGTTTTTACCGAATGCAAGTTTGTGCAGTCCCGACTGCCGCGTATTACTAGTCTGTGGTACAAATTTGTCGTTCTCTATGTGTACAAAACAAGTATAGAGAAAATTGTGATTAACTTCGCATATTTTAAAAATTATTTTGTTTAAACAATTTGAATCCTAAAAGCCCACATTTATTATTAACTATGAATAATTATACAGTAGCATAAGTGCAATCATCATAGTTTTATTTGCTATGTGAACAGTGTAAATAGGTCTTGTGTTAATGTAATATAAAGCTTGTTTTAGTTGACCTACAAGTGTAGTTGGATTCTTTTGCATTTTATGAAGTGAATCACGGAGATCTTCAAACATCTGATTTATCACATCCGGGTAAGTCTAGCCTCAACAACTTTTATTGCCAATTTCTCTAAATACAAATAAAAAATTAACTTCACTGATGTAACTACGTAACAAATAAAAATTTACATGATTTCACAGTAGGATCGTTTAATCTCATGTAGTTTGTAGGAAAGTAATAAATGGACCAAACCAAGAGGTTTGTGTTATCACCAACAGACAATAAGTTATATATTAGCTTTTACTTGGATAACAGTAAGATGTTTGGATAGTACAACCAATCATATTAAAATATTTTCCAAGAATTCTAATTGTAAATTAAATATATTATAAATATATATATATATATTTCTTGATAAATAAAGAATCTATCTTATTTATCAAGAAATTTCCATAGATTTTATTTTTATTTAATTTACAATTAATACCTTCACAGCTGTGTATTCATTTCTTTTATCAAGAAGACTTTAGTTATTTGTGTGTATGTGGTTTCTTATATGTTGGTTTGGAGTAACATATGTACATATTGAATTAACAGAAATAGCCTTAACACATGTGCAGAGTTGTGCCTAAATTAGTCATATTCATATAATTGTGGTGTTGTTACACATATGTTCACATTAAACATATTCCAGCATGTGCTTATTTGCTAGAACCTGACACATACTGTAACCTAAATTTTAATTTGAAAATAGTTTAAATATGCATAATTTAACCTTTGCTCAAACTGGAACTGATTTTTAAATCTGACTATACACTTTCTGCAGAAAGCAGATTTAAAAATCAATTCCCAGTTTGATCAAAGGTTAAATACCTTCCTTTTATACTTAATCTTGTTAGATAATTGTTTAGAAGTGATTAGCTAAACTCTAACTTAACTATGGCTTCTGGTACTTTACTAAATATTGGCGAGCTAAGTACATGTTTTATTCCTTTACTGTATATGTATGGTAAACTTATTGTCTGATTTTAGTATATTGATTGAAATAAAAAGAAAAAAAGAAATTAAATTCATTTTTCTTCTTTTTAGATTAGAGCTTTATATCAAATTAATACAACCTATATATAATTATATATTAATATTAATATAGAATGCTCTAGATTGATCCTGTATGTTCTTACTAAAATTTCAACTCTAGTGTAAATAACACGGGTTAAATTCAAAATGTTTTACCTGTACCAACCCCGATAACAAGTACACATTTTTGTAGTAATATTGAATAATATAATCAAATGTAAGTTAATGCTGTGCTTGGGATTATTCCACTCCATTCAAACAATCTAGTTTTAAAGACCAAAAGGTCCCTTATTTTTACCATGTTGTTCAGTGGTTTTTTAGCTTGTATACAAAATATATGATATGACTACCAAACAAAGCATGTATTGTAAACATTTCTTTTTTCCTGGTAATTGAACGTTTATCGCAATAACATCCGGGATGACCGTGTCGGTTTGACGAGTTCTGTCTGCGCTTTTTATGTATTCACTTGACACCATCAATAATGCTGTTTGTAAATATTGACGTGGGACACTTTCTTCAAGGGCGCTGGTTCTAACAAAAACTTATAAAGTATGCTAGTATGAGACATGATATTAAATCATTCTAGAATCTTAAGAATATGTAAGCACTGTAATAACATACAATTATTTAGCCGGGAGATCCGAGCACTGTGCGATGCTTGACTAAAAAAATTGTCCAAAAAACTATCTACGGTGGCACAGTTGCGAAAGTCTACATTGACGTTAAAGTATTTAATGTTTCAAGAACTTTATTTCTCATTACAAAAAAATAATGTATTTTGTATCCCAATTTAAGTCTACTAGGCTCCTTATGATGTATCTTTAATGATTTTAATTGAATAATCTTTTGAATTGGTTACACGCGTAAATATTACGAATTTTAGACGATAATTGATTAACAACAACAATAATTTACAATAACCAATCTTCTCTTCTCTTTAAGCGTTCTCGCATAAGTTGGCGGCCCTTTTATCGTGAAACGTGTTTGTAATTTGCATGTATATAAACATTTATATCTGTACATATTCTTCAACTATTATTTATGATAAACAGTGAATCATTAGCACAACAAAGAAACACGCTTTATCTTATGAATTTGCTGTGTTTACATAGTGACATCCATACTGACCCCGTCTAATAAAATACAATTGTTATGCCTTGAATTGAACGTTCGCTGTTTTGATAATATGCTCACAGAATAATTGGTATTTCGGCAATTGTGTATGCTATTGAATGAATTGATAATATAACAATACATTTTCATTCTCTTTTTAAGTTCAACTGTGATTCAATGCGAAACAGTTGTAAAAGAATTTATAGACACCTATCAGGTATCTAATATGAATAAGGCGAGTTAAGTACATATTTGTAAATAAGTATTTTTACATTTACTAACAGTAGAAACTTATAATTACTCCTAGCGTGTACTAAAAGTTTGGTAAATAATACATATGGTTTTAAATTTGTTAAATTAGTTTTAACTGACAAGGGGCCGTCCAAGTATTACGTAAGCACTAAAGGGTGATCTTTGATTTTATCATTTGGTGATTACGTCAACAGTAATTATTTACTTTTTTACAAATATTACCCACACCTTGTCTATGCTTGAAAACTAAATGGATTTTCGAAGATTCCTACAAAACATTAATACGTTTATGTACTATTCTTTTTGAGAGCGATGCTTACTTTTGCTGACAATAGAAGGTGTGGGGGGGGGATGGATACATTTGAGTAAATCTGTGTAGTAGGTACTTGAACGGCCTCCCAAAACTCCGGCAGACTGAATGGTTCCGAGATCTTATATTTCTTAAAATAGCCGATATGAAGAAAAAGTTTTACTGCAAGCAAAAATAGCATAACATTTGCTTAAGTAATGCGTAGGTATTTAAATACAGTTAGGAATGCGACCTAACAAATCGTAGCAATCAAGCTCGTCTGGAAACAGAAAATAACCTCCTCAGACTCGTATTGATAGTGAGATTATAAGTAAGGACTGGTTAACAGTATCGTGCTGTTGTTAATTATAGATAATCATGCTAATTAATTAATTGTTTATTTGCGTATCCGTGGGAATGTTATTGCATATGCGATAATATTTATTTATATATGTAATTAGAAGAGCTTGACTGTCTGAATGTCAAAAATATATTGGATTTGAGATACTGGTACTATGTGGAACCAGCTCACTGAAGTATTTCCGAATCAATTCGACTTGGGTCATTCAAGAAAAGAGCGTACCAAATTTTAAAAGGCCGGCAACGCACTCGACCTGTATAACTTAACATCAGATGAGCCTCCTGCCCGTTTGTCCCCAGTTCTATAAAAAAAATACAGTCGTAGTTCACGCTAAGTCTGGAGTCTTATCAGTTAATATTTTAATCAATTCAGCCTATAGCAATCCCGAAGCTAACGATTTTTCATAGCATATACCGTAGCTGTGTTGCAGAATTTACATAAACAGATATATTATAAATACATATATAGTATATCCATCAATAGATAATAATTCGAGTAAACAAGTGCGAATAATCTTTCCTATTTGACGAATGGAAGTGTCAGAGGAAGTTTCAAGCGTTGAGTGTGACTTACCGATGTCAAAACTACATTGGGTTTGACATAAGTGTTGTAACAATTACTCGATTCTAGTATTTTCATACATTTACGCAGTGAGATAATATGGGGATATTTACGAAACATAAATTTGCGTGTTTAATCTGTAATATGAATCAGGCTACTCAGCAGATTATGGAAATAATATTAGCTCTGTCCTAAATCTGTATAATGTAAGCGTTTTAACAGATGTGATTAGCCGCGACATGTAGAGATATAAAAACTATTCGTGGCTAATTCAATCTGGGGGGTTGCCCATGTTGTCAGAGCTAGAAATTACAACATTTGGACATTGTAAAATGTACTTTAATACCAGTACGGAAAGATGATATTGCAATAAATACCTACTGTTTTAATACGGAATCGATAAGTTTATTATATATAACTTTAATTAGTAACAAAGAGAACCAGAGAATTCTAAGCAGACACAGGTGAGTGAATTGTTAAAACGCAGGCAGAGCGTACAACGAGCCGATTGAAAAAAAATAAAAAGATACCTACCTACCTAGTTAGTAACAAAGACTTTAAAATTATACAATCAGACAAATATTTTCACGTATGGCAATTCAATGCACTTCTATAATTTATGTTATTGTAATTTGATTTTATTTTGGTGATCGAGTTGCATATGTCATGTTCTATTTAATATTGAAACTTTATCGTGTTTGTTTAAAATAAGAATAATTACTGACGCGTAGCCCAGATTTCTAATTTGCGTTGTATTTTTTCTTGACGAAAGTTTTACGTAATTTATTCTGATTCAAATGGTTTGTAACGCGAAAAGTGAGATACTTTTCAAAGCTGTTTGCTTGCTAAAACTTCTAATATGTATTAAAAAAAAAGAAGTTTTTTATACAGAACTGGCCACAATTCCACCTGATGTTAAGTGAGGTGTGGTCTATTGGGGGGCACGCCTGTCCAGGAGATGCCTCTTCAACCGCCGCTTTGCTGATGAATGTGGTTTTGCGGAATTATCTGCACTTTAGGATAAACTCAATTCAATTTTAATTTTGCTGATAATATCATATAAATATTATTCAATAATTGAAATACATATTTATTTTTAAAGAAATTAACAGTTAAAATGTATATAATATGAAATAAGGATTAATAATTAATTGGTATTCGCGTATGTTCTGAGAATCTTGACAACAAGTTTACCGTTTTGCGATATAATCTGTGTCACTCGGTCATCGGTCACGATTCGATTGTAATTCTAATATTAGAAATCGACACAGATAATAAATAAAGAGTGATTATATCGCATACCATTTCATGTATGTTTATGACTAAGAAAAATCTTAATAATTATAAATTTATAAACCGAATATTATATTAGTGCGACATACATTTTATATTTAAAAATAAATATTTTTTTAATTACCCAGGGAATATGGTTTGTGCGCCTCTGTAATACTAACTTTTGTCTGACATCATTGCTATGAGAAGTCGAGGTCAGATAGCATTTATACGATCTCTTACTATCATATAAACTTGATATTCATTACCAGTATCAACTGTTGATAGTTTGAAGAATTTGTTGGGAGATATTTAAAGTGAGCAGTGAAAGCGATAAGGCTGCCCTTTGCCCTAGATGTCATGTGTCACGTGTAGGATTGAACAACTTGTACTGTAATTTTTTTTAGGCTGGTACAAATCGTTTGGCAAAAAAAATTGCTGATTTTCGGCGGTATTATTTTTTAATTAACGTCGGTATGGCGGGCTGAAAGTCACACCGGAAAAGTATGGCATGACACTGCCGCCTCTTATTTTTTTATGGACTATCGGAAAATGCTAGAATTTTTGTGGAACAAATCGTTTGACACACTAATTAATCCAACGAGTTCGACTAACGCCCACGCGACAGGGCCGCCGGTACTAGCGCTATGACCATCAGTTTTCTTTTTTCATTGCGTAATAAGACCCCTGAAGAACCGCCATACTGGTACAAAGACTCACTATTTTGTGTCACTATCTCCCGGCCTATTAGCGCAAGGATGTGATTAAGGGACGAGACTTAAAACTAAGCCTGTATGTCAAAAATATATTGGATTTTGACATTCAGGAGGCATAGTTCGCTCTATATCTCGTCTCTAATGTGTGTATGTGTGTGTGAATTTGACTTTTGTACCTGTTTCTCCTCTTGGCGTGAAATTTATGCCGGTTTTCTTGATAATTTTGACTTGTTAGGCAATGTGATCTTCTGTGCTTGATACAGGTTCCCTCTAGATGTGTAGTTTTGAGTTTATTCTTCACAAATATATAATTTCAAAGGCATACGCAATTAAGTGTTTTTTTAACTGAATATTATAATAATTAGACGAGATGGTCTTCTATGTCAGAATTATAAAAAAAAAAATATATTCATAGAAACTAAATATGATCAACACTACAAAAACGCCGAATTGTCTCTTTTTATAGCGTAAATTCAATTTGGCGGAAAGAGACAAAAGTGCAGTTTGGTCATTGCTAAATAAATAAGTGAACAATCAGTTTTTTATATATATATATAATAAGAACGCAATACTTTGCCTATGGTAGCAGTATTAGCACTACATAATTAAAATTTAATACATAAGCAATGACCCAAAATAGGTTATAGAAACGAATATTCTGAATATTAATATGTCTACTGTGATATTAATAATATCAAATTTCATTTATTATGAGAAAGCCGTAAATTGATATGCCGTGTTTCAATGGAATTTATATGTGCGCAATCAACACTCGCTCGTACGATAAAGGATCTTGAGGAAACCAGCCTTAGACCCAGAAGTCGACGGCATGTATAAATGATCACGAGACGTATACAGAAACCTGCGGCCTAAACTTAGGTTGTAGCGACTCTGGATTTTAAACATAAAGTCTTCATCTTCTCCTTGTCTCCAGACAAAAAATGTAAATATGTATACTGCTTAGATATTTTACATTTTATACATTATTTTTATCTTGTTACCCTATATATCCTAGCTACCTTTAGTACAGTCGATCGGAACCCCTTCACGGGTAAAGGCCACCTCCAGCTAACTCTGTCTATGGCTTTCTTTCTCCATTCGCTTCCTGCTACCGCTTCTATTTCTTCTATCCACCTTTTTTTGGGGCCCCTCTTCTTTTTCCCCTTGGTCCTTTCCATACAGTTGTGTTTCAAGTCCACCTTTTATCTGTATATCTTGCTATATGTATACGTATACATATAAATGCTTCATAAAACAATTGAGAGGTCGTTGACCTGACACGAGTTTGTTGTGAGTTTTAATGAAAGTCAATTTTTAATATAAACGAAAAGAGGTCAATTGATATAGAGTTATACTGTAATGATATGAATTTTGTGAAGGATTTAAGTGTGTACTGCAAAATGGTCTTTTTAGGTCTGCGCCTCAGATGTCTTTATCTGTTTCATGATCATTTGTCAATGTAATTGGGAAGTAGCTGATCAGCCTCCTGTGCCTGACACACGCCGTCGACTTTTTGAGTCTAAGGGAAGTTGGTTTCGTCACGATGTTATTATTATGTGTATTAATTTAGTTAACGAATTACATAGGTTAAAGTTTTATTATTTGTTAGCGCCTATAGTAGTTAAGTTCTTGTATTTTTTATTGTATAATTTTGTTTTTCCTAATTAGTTTCTTATGTTATTTTTTTTTGTTTCGTCTGTAAAAAAATTTATTCACTTATTGTGCATTCTTGCCAATTTGGGGTCGACTGTTAGGGCAGGAGTGTTTTTATAAATATTTTTTTTCCTTCACTTTCGAGCGCATGTTAAATGCGCACATATAAAGTCCATTGGTATTGGCACAGCCGGGGATGGAACCTACGACCTCAGGGATGAGAGTTGCACGCAACGCCAACAGTCGAGCAACTAGGCCAACACTGCTCTCAACACTCTTTTCTTCAAGATATATATATACTAATATAAAGGGGAAAAATGTGTAGGTATGTTTGTAACAAATGAATTTATAAACCGATATCAAAAATGAGTCACCATTATTGACAACTTTGGCCTACGTTTCACGAAATAGGCTCTAGGTAACTCATTAAATACTTAACAGTAACAGTTATAGTCATTTATTTTAGCTGGGTATATCTGCTTCGTCAGGGCCTGTCCAAATAACTAATCAGGATTCCCTTTAGAACAGTGGTTCTGTCAAATTACTGTCTGGTCTAAGGTAAAAGCTCAAAGGACAGTCCAATTAATTTCTGCATACAATTTTGAAGGCATACGTTAATAATTAGTATCCTAACCTCTTTCCACGTATTTTAACAATCTGTGAGGTCATTCAAGGTCGCTTAATCTCTGCCCTCAGAAGTTGTGAAGCGTGAGGCTTAGTGACATCAGGTGGAACTTCTATTTATCGTGACAATAATGGAGGTAGAGGCGAAAATCGTTTTACAATCCAATTATTATCATGCTCATGTCATGGGGTATGGGGCAGATACATTGATGGTTAAGTAGGTTCCTCTTATAAAAAAGGAATTGTTACTATGTTTGAATCTCAGAACTAAAGGCATACCTACTCTCGGGGGCTTTTATGTGAAGAATATGTATGTGTGTTATATATGTGAATTTCTTTGCTCCGATATATACACGTAGCTTAATCATGGTTTATTAATTTAAACCTACAATAAAACCATATATAAAATTAAATATGTACAGGGTTAACGTATACAGTTTCCTTATAGGGAGGGAAGAATTATTGTATGGGTATTGGGTTAAACCAAATAAATTTAGCTCATTTTCACGTTATAGATAGTTTTTTGTTATAACGACTGATGTTATAAAGATTTTACTCTGTATATCTAAAGAAACGAAAGTAAGAAATGAAATACGAAGACTGCATCTTTGGGTCACTAGATAATTTATATCCAAATTATTTTACAAACTAAATGTCAAAATGTATAATGTTGGAAATTCAGCACATCAGCCTTAATGAAGAAATGGGGGTTCTAACAACTGTTTTTATTCATTCTATAATATTTGTATTTCAGGTTGCCGGCATTATCGGTGACGCGATAAACAATACGATTGTTATGGAGTTTGCGTGATACCAGTCGCCATGTGGAAGTACGCTCTGCTGGTGATGCTTGCCAGCGCTCATGGGCTCCTCGAGGGACCCAATGTGTGTACCAGACAGGAACAGTAAGTACTTATTGTACTATGTTTTATTTATTTGATGACTGTCTTTATTAAATGATGTTTTCACCAATAGTATGGATTTCTGAAGAAGTTGTATAATTCATTGTGATTTTATGTTAATTTGCCGAAATATTGAAGTTGTTGAAGACATCAGAAAAATATCTCGCTTAAATGCATGAAACGAATGAACGAAGCTAGCGGACGCTAATTAATAAATATACACGGGCGTTAATGTATTTATGGCTTATCTCTTACAATGTCTCTTATCTGCTGAAAAAAAACTTGTGATATCTCTTCTCAAATTTGCGAATTGTGAGCATAGGCGTCTTGCTAGACAGAAACTGACAGGAAAATTAATTATGTTGAAAATCATTTCTCAATTTGAAATTTAATAACTTCGGAATTTTTTTCTTAGTAATACTGTTCGCTGTGCGTTTTGCACGCCTCATTAGCGGAGCGGAGGCAGTGCTCTACTCTCGACATGCCAAAAAACCCAGTCTTTCGAAACTTGAATGACTTTTTCTCACTAATATGACACTTACAGGATAATATGAGTGCACTAAAATCGAGTTAAATAATCTATCAAGCACATATGGTATTTTTTATGAACAATTATTTTGTTTAACATAGTAAATAATAACATTAAAATCAATCATTCTTGGACATGAAATTGGTCGAAAAATGTATCGTACCAAAATTCTTTTTTTCTTATTATATAAAGTTATACCCACCCTGGGCTGATTCCTAGTTAATATTAGCGTTCTAAGTACTGTCGTTTAATTATAATTTGTAAAAAACTAAAATACGACTGTGTATTTGTATATCTATATATACATTTATTTTAGTATATTTTTTCCTCACCAAGCAGCAATAATTCTCCGACAAATGGACGATTGGACAATTAATGGACAATTTCAATAAATAATAAATTTAATAAATTATTTGGGATATTTTTAATTTAGATTTTATATCGCTCAATTAATAAATAGAATATAATGGATTAAATTTACAATTTTTTTATATTCATTCCATTGTTTGTTTTGCGGCTTCCGTCTTGGTTCCCGGGAGAGCGAGAGGTCTAAATAATAATATTTTAATTACTTTATTAAAAGTAATTCAAAGTCTGTTCGTACTTACTAGTAAAGTTTTTCTATATATATCTAATTTTTTACACAATAAAATTGCGGCCTCTTTCAAAAAACCCAAGTTTGACGCACCAGACGCCTATTCCTTTTCTTTCTTTTTGTTTTTGATTATAATAAAAAACCTACAACCGCAAGAACAATGTGTCATAGAGCGAATATGAAATTTCGTGTAGGACAGTATTCCTAGTTGATGAAGTTGCGCCATATCGCTCAATATTGTATTGCAGTATTGATGCTTGTTGCCGTTGCCGTAAATTGCTTGATGTAGTCGTGACGTCATAGGACGAGTATTGACTGGAATTGATAATTTTATTCCTTAAGCGCACCTTATAGTTATGGCGCCACTATATATTTTTTTATTATATTATTGTTTTTTTTTCAATCATTTATTTATGAAAAAAAAATGGCTGTGTATTTGTATATAACTATATCTATATGCAAGAGTATGTGGAAAATCAAGATTCGCGCATGCGCTACGTAAATTTCGTTTTATAAAATAGCGTGAGACTTAAAGATAATAATTTATTTGTTATTTTGTTTTAAAAAACTTGAGTTTTTGTTTTAGATTTAAAAAAAAAATGTGAATGACCGCTATGAGGCGTGCACTTTTGGATTTTCCAAACTTATTTTTATATTAGCTAGTAACATTATAGCTTTAGAAGAATTACAAAAATAATGGCCCTAATATTGAAATCTAATTCAAGCACCTTAAATCTTTAAAGCGGTTAAATAGTTGTTAAAATTAGGTATACGCGTGCATAACTAATATTGACAGTTAAAAAGTGTAACGTCTTAAATTTAATACTTCGATCTTCAAACGACTTCCAAAAACCGAAAGTGAGAATTAAATGCGTATAACAGAATACATTGAAACTAGGTTTTAGCGTTTACTAACAAAGTACAGACCGTACCTGGAACGGTTCTTCGCAAAAATTATTAAATATCTGAAGGATGCAAATAAAAATGAAAGAACGGGTCTCGCCAGCAATTGCGGCCCGGCTCGCCCATGAATATTGTAAATAATATTACCGATATAGCCGGGCGTAACATGAATGAGTATGATTTTTTTATGTATCTTTTTAGTAAAAATATAAGATATGGAAAGAAACAATGGCAGGGGACTAGATCGAGGAAAAAAAGTATGTTCGTTTAGGCATATTTACTTTAAATTTAGCTAACTAGCATGCTAGCACGTAAGCTAGCTACGTCTTATATCTACGGATAAGTACTATGGATAAGACCCTATAGTAGTCCATGAAGTTACCGAAACGGGTATAATCGGTGGAATATAGGAACCAAATTTAATCGTTGGTAAAATCAAGTAATACTAACTTCCATACAATATTTGTTAGTTTACGTTTTGTTAAGTTTCATTATCAGACGTCAAGGCAGAATACAAAATACCATCCGTATCACGACGTTCGTCGTACCACAACTGAGCGTTTTTTAAAGCAGTTTTAGCAGCGCACCAACACTATGTGGAACTAGCTGCCCACTGAAGTATTTCCGAACCAATTCCACTTTGGGTCCTTCAAGATAAAAGCGTATCAATTCTTGAAAGCCGGCAACATACTTGCGAGCCTTCTGGCAATGTGAGTGTCCATTGCGATATCACTTGACATCAGGTGTGCCTCGTGTCCGTTTGCCTCCTATTACAAAAAAAAAACATATGAAAACCGAACTGAAACGAACAAAAGACCTAAACCCGTAATTACACTATAGTTTAGTGATGTAGTACTAAAATCCCTCCGACAGACTTCTGGATTTCATTTTGTAATGTAAAGGATAACCCGAAACAACCACAGATCTTGTTTTATGTTCAATAAATTAATTGTAATGTTAATTTAAATGCGTCGGAGTGTATTTACTGACCTTTTACACCACACTTATCGTTTTTCCTTTGATATAATAATTAATTCTTGCGTATTCATTGACGTGGCAATGATTCATTCGCATTATGTATTAAACGTAATATAAACTTGGCTAAAATGCAAAAATTATATTTTTAAAGTATTTTAAAAGTGGATTTTACTAAAAAAAAATATAGCTTAATAATCAGGGCATTTAATTATATTTAATCAAACCATGACTCTTAAATTTAATTCAAAATAATATTTTGTTAAATCTGTTCCTTTTTAGAATATCTTTAACCAATCAAAATTGATGAAATCATCGTTGGTTGACGCCTCAGATGTCAATTGTGTTTATATTTATAAGTGTTTATTGTTGGGGGAGCTGAGAGTATTGTTATTGTCTCGTACAAATCATTCTCTCTGCACTTAAAATATTATCATTATTTTATGGTGATCAATCACCAAGTAATTTCTTTAAAAAATCCTTAATCTTTCAAATTTCATTATATGGACTTTCTAGTGCAGTGTTTCCCAACGTCGGGCCCACGCCCGCCAGAGGGCAAATTGAATATTTGGTTATTTGAATTTCAGTATATGTTATGATGTCTTATAAAAATAGAACACAAGAACAGAGTGTCTTCATTTTAATAGAGACTGTAAGTAGAGCTATTGGACACTTTCTTACGTTAAATATCCTTATTAGTAAATAAGTTAGACTTAAATTACTTATTAGTCTTAAGTTAGGCTAGATCGTAATGGTTCATGATGTCTTAGTAAAGGCACATCACAGAAAAAATGTTATGAAAACTGTTTATTTTTATTTTTTATTTATTTTTTTAAAAGACAATTCACACCAATTGCCCGAGTCTCATGCTAAGCTGGTGAAGCTTGTGTTATGGGTACTAGGCAACGGATATACATACATATTTTAGATAGATAGACATATAAATACATATTTAAACACCCAAGACCTAAGCACAACACCAAATGCTCATCACATCTATGTTCTTCTCAGCCGGGGATCGAACCCGGGACCCATGGATTCTCAGTCAGGGGTACTAACCACTAGACCAATGTCGTCAAACTGTTTGTCACTGTTTTGTCATCTTCTTCCTAAAACCTATTAAGTTTCTTAAGTGGACAATTAAATTTTTTAATATTAAAAAATATGTATGTAACATCAGGTGACATAACAGTTTTAGAAAGGATGAGGTGGGGCAAGGCACAAACACTAATCTAGAGTGATATTTAGAATCTAAATTGTGTGACGGGCGTGAAAACTTTGGATTTTGACATACCTACGAAAGTCATATTTCTCGCGAGGTCTAGCTTCGGAACCCCTACTTTTTTTAAAACTTTATTCATATAGATAACTAAATTGCTTCTAAATTTACATTTACTACCAGTTCGCAAGTCAAGGGCGTAAAGCGGGCATGAAGAACTGGCAAGAAACTCTCCGCCTCTCTTTTAATGGCCAAGTTTTGAGTACTGTTCTTACCATCATCATTTTGACTCCACCACTAAACACATCAAGTCCAAGTGTTCTGTTTCACAGTTCCCTATATTACTCTAGGATTGAGGTCTGGTGGGTCAGACCCTGACTTAATGATCGAGCCACCTGAGAATGTTTTGTATTAGATGCATTTCCGAGTCATCAAACCATAAATAGAAAATTCTTGATTATGATTGTAATACTTCAGTTATTTTATGTCAATGTAATTGGTTAAATTTTTATTAATGAAGAGGAGGCTAACGGGCAGAAGACTAAGCTGATGTTAAGTGATACCGCCGCCCATTGAGACACCTTGCCAGAAGGCTCGCAAGTGTATTGCCCGCCTTTTAAAAATTAGTACGCTCTTTCATCGAAATACCCTATGTCGAATTGGTTCGGAAATCCTGCAGTGGGCAGCTGGTTCCACATAGTGGTGCTGCGCGGCAAAAACTTGAGAACAAAAACATCCTTAAACCTTCTTTAAACGAACATCCATAGTCTTCTTTATTTCTA